TGTATAATGGTCATGTCTACTTCCCACTGAATCGGGCATAGCGTCTCTAAGATAATCTGGTGGTTTGTTGTTCAAAATTTTATGAAAAAGGACTAATCTATGATTGGATCTTCTTTCGGACAATGTTTCCCATTTAGTTTCAATATACAATTTATTAATCCTAGTTAGTTTGGTCCCACCTTTAACAATCCGCGCTGCATCGAGCTGGATATTCTCAAGTTTACTATGATTGATTAAACTTTGATTTTGAGAATCACATACAACGTCTGCATATTCCAATACAGGTTGAATAAATGATATATAAAAATTTTCAAGAGTAAACCTGTCAAGAATATTTTTCACTTTCCTCATTATACTTATTCATTTGTATGATTTTATAGTAATATATTCAATATGGTCATTCCAGCTGTTATTCGGGGGAAAAAAAGACATCCGAAAGATGGTATTTAGTTCCATTCGGTAGTATAATTGTAATCGGGAAGATGGAATGCACGTCTGTATGTATCTTTGGCAATCTGATTAAAATACAGATCCATAGTAACTCGCGTCCTTGTCGGAGCATAAAGAAATCAGAGATCTATATTTTAGTTAGATTGTATCTTTGAAGTGTTACTTTTTTACTCCTGTAAGTTAGATGGTTGAATTATTTCCTTACTTTGGATCAACATTTCATTAGGATGAATTATATGATGGCCATTTTTAAAGTGTATTCAGCAGGATATCAAATACAACACTTGAATTTTGCAATCAGACTAATTCTATAAGATAAAATCAAAGATATATAAAGCAAGTATATAATAAGTTCTTAGTTAATCATTAGAACACATAATTTTATCATCTATACTGACCGACTTTAGAAACGCAACACTAGATTATTCTTTTTTAATTTCCCATTTTTAAATATGCATTTTTTGTTAAACAAACTGATGAACAGAAAATTCTTTCATTACTTCATTGTTTAAAAAAAATTGGCAGTTCGAAAGTTGAATTGATAACGTCATTTCGAATGTTCAAATCTTGTGGTATACACTGAAACCCTGTTTTTCAACTTACCAATGAACGTGTCAACGTCAAAAGCAATGACTGCCTGTAACCAACGCCAAAATGATTGTGAGAAAGGTCAACCAATTCTGTTCGGCATGTTTAATGTTCTGTTTTGCACCTTCTGATTTTGCAGTTGTTCCACCCATTACAATGGGTTTTTGGCAATAATGCGCTTGACAATTTAGGGATTTAAATGTTTTTTCTGCATTCTATTCTTTGGTTGTTCAGTTGATGGAAAACATTTATGGCATGAATCTGTGTGCAATGGCATTCGGCAATTTGATTAGCAGTTGACGTTGCGGCCGTAAACATGTCTCGCAAATGACGTTGCGAAATCAAATTCTATTGACGTTGCATTGTCACTACATGTTGATCTGTCATTGGTGGTCTTCAACAAACCCCGTCTACCTGTATCGTTGTCGGAAAGACAGTAAGACGAGTTTCTGAAGTCAAATTGTCTGGTTGCAGCACGTTCACGTTTTCCTGTTTGCAATATTCTTATGGGCTGATTCAGTCTTTTATTCCTCAGTCTTGGCAATATGGAGATGGAACATTGGTTAACTGTTTCAAGTGTGGCCAAGGATTGAAAGAACTGTTTCACAAAGAGAAAAAAAAACTGAAAAAATCTTTTATGAGTTCCAAATTTCGCTTTACGAAATTCATGCGACTTCAATAATCCGGTATGTTCAATAACCACAGGTAAGTGGGATGTTGACTTTTTCTCAAGAGAAAGATGTATGGTATAAGCTTGAATAGTAGTTGTATGAGGATCAAACATGATTTGATAAAAAAAAATATCAACAAAATGAGTGTTGCGTTTTTAAGGTCGGTCAGTATATAATGAAACACCTTTAGATAATCATAATTCACTATACCAATTGCAGCATGGTTTCAGATCAAAAATTTGCTGTGAAACACAACTATATGTATACCAACATTTACCCAACAAATACTTCCAGATGATATGGTAAATGTTAAACAAACTGACGTAGTTGGTATGGATATCTGAAAAAGAAGCATGGTTATAGTACAGATCTGAAAAAGTAGTTGTTGACAGACACACATCAAATAGTTGTCCTGTCAGATTGTCAGGCGACCCTGAAGGCTCTGTTCCGCTTGGTCCATGTCTTTTCCTTATATTAACACAAATGACATGCCAGACAAACTAGCTCAAAAGTAATGTTCGCCTCTTTGCAGATGACAACATTGTGTATCTTAAAACATCATCACTTACTGGAAATCATACCAGGTTTCAATCAGACTTACGTAAATTGGAACAGTGGGAACAAAAATGTTTAATGTCCTTTAATCAAGACAAATGTGAAATCATCCACATAATAAAAAAGCGAAAACCTATAATTTTTAGATATACACTACAGGATCACATATTAAAATCATCAAACAAGGCAAAATATCTTGGTGTTACCATTACAGATGATCTAACATGGAACTTGCATATATACATGTGTAAATAACATCACAAATAAATCAAATGCATCACTGATATTTATCAAAAGAAATGTAAAAACCAACAGCATAAAAAACTAAAGCTGGCCAACTCTACAACAAAGAAGAAATCTTGCATCAGTCGGCACCATGCTCTACAAAATTCAACATCAATTAGTTTCCATATCAAACAAGCAATACTTAGTAACATCAAAAGAACATAAACTTGTACAACCATTATCTCCCACAAATTACCATTTATTTCCATTTTTTCCTAGAACAATAAGGTTGTGGAATTCCTTACCAAACCAGGTAGCCAGTAGCCAAGACTTGGATGTATTTAAGTCTGGTGCAAAATCCCAAATATATTTCCAGAACAAATAAATGTTTTTATTAATGACTAATTAAAAAAAAAAAAAAAGAAAATAAAATGTTTTTTTTGTAATCTAGTGTAAATATGTTCAGATAAAAAAAATCCATAGCATTTGCACGGTGTTTTCTTGTAATCTTTAACATATTGAAGTCAGTAAGAAGTATTGTGTAGATGTAAGTATGATAGGAATAATAACGAAACATAATTGAATTTGAATTTAATAGGGTATAAAACTGTTCGAAACTCAAATGTATCCTCTCTCAAAAAAATATATATAGAACCATTAACAAATCCAATTTTAGCTGGGTAAAAGGTAAGCATTATGCATCTACATTATACCCCGTTGATCTTGTCCATCACATTATTAGTAATTACCCAACTAGATATATTTAAGCCAGTATATACATGTCAAGCTCGTTCTATCACCAACCAATCAAACATTCGAGCAACAGGTGTACTTGCCACCCAGCTCAAGGTAAACAAAAGTAGACCAGTAAGTAAGTACATTTTTATCTTACTATTAGCCAATGCCTTTGACACAGAAACTAACCCAGGACCCAGAACACCAAAATGGCCCTGTGGTACTTGTGGCAAGGCTGTAACTTGGAAGACCAGGGCAGTATGTTGTGATAATTGCGATATATGGTTCCACATAGAATGCCAACATATCCACACAGGTGTGTTCAGATTCATGGATGCTAGTAATGTGTCCGCGGAATGTATCAATTGTGGAATGCCAAATTTTTCTACTGCTTTATTTAACTCCACCTATAGTATTGGAACAGAAAATCAGTTCTCAATCTTAAGCACAAGTTCTTTGGTCAGTAGCCCTGGTGTCCCAGTGGCTACCTCATCACCAAAAACTAAATGAAAAAAAACAAGACATCCCATCTAAAACAACCTCGTCTAAATTTAAAAGACCAATTAGAGTGGTAAACATTAACTTTCAATCTATCTGTAATAAAAAACCAGAACTTGAAGAAATTATAAACTCTGCAAAACCTGATATAATCACAGGCACTGAAACTTGGTTAAATCCAAATATACCATCTCATGAACTATTTCCACCAAACCTTTACAATGTGTACCGAAAAGATAGAACACAAAATGACAAAGGAAAAAGTCACGGCGGAGTATTAATTGCTATTACTAAAGAGTTTATCAGCTCCAAAATAGATGAATTCCAATCAGATTGCGAAAGCGTGTGGGCGGAAATAAACATTTCAGGCACCAAAAAGATCATTGTCGGATGTTATTACCGACCCCCATCAGACGATGGAACATCTCTTGAAAATTTAAATATTTCTTTAACAAAAATTAAAAACATCTCAAATTCTAACATATGGCTTGGGGGAGACTTTAACTTAGGCCATATTGATTGGTCAATTCCATCCATTGTTGCTGGAAAACCAGAACAAAAATTACACCAACAACTCCTAGACATAGCTTTTGACCATAATTTACAACAAATGGTAGACAAAGAAACACGCAAAGACAGAATTCTAGATCTGTTCTTCACTAATAATCCATCTAGTGTAAATAAAATGACAACTTTACCACCAATCGGTAAGGCAGACCATGATATAGTATACCTTGAGATTGACACATGGCTGAAAAGGGTACGTACGGGAACTACCTAGAAAAATCATGAAATTCAATAAAGCCAACTGGGGAAACATTAAAAAAGATCTTATTGAAATATTAACAACAATACAAGAAAAATACAAACTCAGTAATGTAGATGAATTGTGGGAAAATTTTAAGATAGACCTCATAAAATCTATAGAAAAAAATGTACCACACAAAATGATCACATACAAACATAGATTACCTTGGGTAACAGACAAACTACGTAAGCTTATAAACAAGAAAAACAAAGCTTATCGAAAAAAGTCTCACATCGTCGCCTCCTATACAAGCTCAACTACTATGGTATTGAAAATAACACACTAAATTGGATTCAGGCATTTCTACATGACAGAACACAAACAGTCGTCATCAATGGCATTTCTTCCACCTCAGTACCCGTAACATCTGGTGTACCACAAGGAACAGTATTGGGCCCAATACTGTTCCTCATCTATATAAATGACCTACCTGAATATTTACAACACAGCAAGCTAAGACTCTTTGCAGACATATCCAACTAAGTCAGACATCACGTGACTTTTGTGACGTATACTAGCCGCCATTTTGTATTATATTGCCCCATATAAAATGCATAGGTGCTTCAATAAAGTTGAGTTTTCTCATGAACCTGACCCGTTTTCTAACTTTTGCAAATCAATCCTTGATATTCAAACATATTTCTATCAAACAATGTTGGTCCTAACAGTTTAATTTTTGATTAAATTCGGTCACTGGAGTACGTAAAAACAGGAACATATATATTGACGGGACTTGACACTACCTGATTGTAGTCGATTTTATCGTCGTGCCATAGTTAATAAAGATACGATACAGAAACGGACATGTGTTAAAAACGGACTCGCTATTATCCTAATAATTTCTGATATTATCAATAAAATGTCATTCAAACTAGTTTTATAGTGATGCTAGTGTATCAAACTTGTATTCTGTCACTTCAAATTTGTTAAAATCGCAAGCATTTTATCACAGGATTGTGCAGAATGCAATCAGGTAATAAAAAAATGGCGGCCATTGCCGCGATGATTTACAAATTCCCAAACTATTATAAAACACTTCACATCAAATAAATCAAACTTATTTTGGTAATTTTATATGACAAAATATATCTACTAAATGATAAAACTTGCATTTATTTACAATTAGAGTTATGTTGTTTATTTGTTGAGCAGTTCTGATAGTTTTTCAGTCAGACGCTACCAAAATCCGTAAATCTCGGGAAGTCTCGGGGAGTCCGAGATTTTATCAATTTTATACTGAAAAGCGTATTAGATTCATTTCCCGTTAGATATACTGTTCCCAGGTAAAAACATGTACTTTTTCTCGTTATTTCTCCGTTGACTCAATGCTAAATTACCGATACCCATGTCTACTTGTATAACAAATAAAGAAATTCCGTTAATAAAAATAAAACTTTGCAACTCGATTAAGTATATTCAAACATATATCTGGCGAAAAATACTATTTAAAACAGTTTAATTTCTGGGCAATTTCGGTCAAAAATCGATTTAAAAAAGTGAATATTTCGGGATTTTTCAAAATGGCGGATGATGTATATGGAAATGTTGCATCAAATCGAGGATTTGTATAGTAAGACTTTCCTTGATTTAATTTAATTTTCATGTAGAATCTCTGATGTTTCTGTTATTTTCTTTGGTGATATTTCGATATGATTGATTTCAAAATTTATTGATTAAAAAAATATTATTCTAAGTGTGACACGGGAAAATTTTATTTTGACAGATATCCAGGATATACTGTTACCAGATAATAGTTAACAATAAAATTTATAATAAAATTTTTTCTCTTCTTTTTTTAAAAGGTTTTTTTCCTGTTTTCTGTATAATTTATCTTTCTTTAGAAATATATTTATACATTCCTTTTAGAACAAAAAAATATTTACGTCCCAAGAGAGAAAAAATCCCAACAATTATTATAGATAAATATTCCATACCTTCAAAATCCCATCACTTGACGAACAGGTGAACTCTGACTTTGGATGTAATGTTACATAACAATATATTGTTAGGTAGACGTGCAAACCAAAAGCAACCAGGTGACATTAAACATCCTGTGTATACATGTATTACCAGAGTTTAAATTTTGTGATATACAAAAGTTTTCATAACTGTACAAATAAATATCTTCTCTTCCCCGTGTCAAACCAGAAGAAGTATGTATCATAATAAACTTAAAGAAAATATGAATATTATAAAAAAAAATCTTTAAAAAAATAATTTTTGCTTTAAAAGATAATCAAACTAATATTTATGTTTCTTTATTTTGTATTATTTCGTAAAAAATTAAACGAGATTTCATTGAATATGATTTTATTATTTATTTTTTTAATTCAATATTTTAAGCAAAATCAAGGCATTCAATAAATCGATATAAAGTTAAACTTGTGTAAAAAAATTTGTTATTGTATACATTTCAACAGAGACATATAATACAATTGCTCTGATTTCAACAACATTGTATACCCGACAATATTTATCGACAGAGTTATCGGTCCTGAATAGGACTGATATAGTTGGGTATGTGACAGCATAATTTACAGGGAAATAAAAACACAGGATAATTGTCATAATCTGCAACTAGATCTAGACTCAGCAGCACGATGGGAGTCAGATTGGCTCATGGCATTTCACCCTGATAAATGTACCAACCTTACCATCTCACAAAAGAAAAATAACTACCGGCATAATTACATACTCCACAATCACATTCTTGAATCAGTAACATCTGCAAAATACCTCGGCATCACCTTACAATCCAATCTTAAGTGGAACAAGCACATAGACAGTATAGTATCAAATGGGAACAGATCACTTGGTTTTTTAAAAAGAAATTTAAAAGTTACTAACACAGAAATAAAACTTGTCAAGAGCATACCAGGCACTAGTAAGACCCAAACTAGAATATAGTTGTAGTGTCTGGGACCCCCATATGAAAGATCAACAGATAAAATTAGAAAATGTGCAGAGACGAGCTGCTCGTTATGTACACAACAACTACGATTACACGAGCAGTGTCACAAACATGCTAAATCAGTTGAAATGGCCACCACTAGCTGAGAGACGCCTAAAAACTATTTTACAAAGTAATACACTGTCTTGTAGCCATTCCATCGCATATTCTTGAACAAACAGACAGCAGAACAAGACAAAACCATACTCAGACATATAGACACATCCAAACTTCCAAGGACACATACAAATGGTCGTACTTCCCGCGAACAATTATTCAGTGGAACTTACTACCACAAACTGTTATTGAAACCGCCACTGTTGACAGCTTTAGAGATCAGCTAACACCAGCTGTTCTCTCTAGCTTCAAATAAACAAATCCAAACCAAAACATGTACATAAATTGCATATTTTTTAATCACAATCTGTATATACAAACACTTTAATTGTTAGTAAATATTTTTATTAATTCATATAAAAAAAAAATTTGTCAATCACGCATGCGCAACAACATGTATTCTTCAGTATTGAAGCCTTGTTGACCTAAAGAAGAAGAAGAAGAAGGGATATAATATGATAGTATTTCAAGGTTTTAGCAAACGATATTAAGCAGTGCACTTTCTTGTAAATTTTCTTTTCGGTCTTCAGTTAGATTTTAAATTTATTCGGAAAATCTCTAAGTTTTACCTTAACGATATTGTAACGGGTTTGCAATGATTGATAGCATTCACATACTTTGACAGACAACGTAATATCATGACCAAACTCATGAAGTCATTTAACCCCTCATTAATTTCAATGTCCAACATTGTGTTGCATTATTGAATCCTTGCATTTAATCATGATATATCATCTTGTGTAAAACTACCGTCATTCCAACATTTTTCCAAAAAAAAGTAGTAGAAGACTACTAGTCCAAATAATTACTACATGCCTGCAATGGGCTATAATTTCCAGAAATTTTTGACCCCCCCCCCCCCCCCCAAACATGGAAGACATGCAAAGTAAAAAAAAAATCCTAGATTTTTGTCAGATTTCGCAAATATTACTGGATTTCCACCTATTTGTATAACCAAATTTTTGTCTTGTGTCTAAATAAATCTGGAAATCCAGCATCTTCCATAGGGTTTAAGCATAAAAAAATGTCTGGAATCCCAGCATCTTCCATAGGGGGTGGGGGGATCCAATTATTTCTGGAATAGTCCAATCATGGTAATACCTACAATATAAGCCAATGACTTCTTTTATGGAATCAAGTTATTTAATTCATTTATAAATTTCCATGTGATATAGCTGATTTAAATGACTCTTAATTTTTCGACTAAAATTAAGAAATCTTGAAACAAGTCGGTCTGGATCATCATTAGACTGACAAACATTTGAAACGGATCTCTTTATACACACATGCAGAAATTGAAAATAACTCAGAACAGTCAGATACAGTTTACAACAAAACTACAATAAAGCGACTTAGACATATCTCAGACCATGATAATGATATCATACCAAAGACCAAACTAATTACATGATTATATATATATATATTATTTCTGATCCTGACAGTGACTTGTCTCATTGCACTATTTGTTTCATCTTGATCTGGTACTCTATTTCTTTAAGTACAAAAACAAATGTAATATTAAGGTTTAAAATCTGCCATAAATGTCAGATATCAATGTCAGATATCAGAAACAGGTTAGAACATGTAGAAAAATAAAAGTAAGTTATTTGCAGATCTCCATGTGCATACAGCATGTACAGTTTTTCATTGTGCAGTTTCCCATCATAGCCATCTTTGTATATATATAGTATTTTAGACATGATTAAAAAAAAAAACGAACAAAAATCCAACAAATTCAATATAGTCAATAATTTCTTGAAAAACTAAAAGTTCAAAATTTAAATATATAGTTCTATTGCATTGAGTTTGTCATTGTCTTATTATGCTCATTGAAGAAATCACTCTAAAATATGACTTAATATATTTCCAGTGATGTCATTAAGAGGAGAAGTTCTTTCACTTTATAGAAGAATATTTAGACTATCCAGCCAATGGAAAAATATCACAGCTAGCTCAGCAATGGGTGTCATAATTGGCTTATATAATATCTTTTATTCCATATTTTCAGTAGGTTTTTCTATATGAATTTGATTTTGAACAAATTAGCATAATCACCTGCAGAAAAAGTATATTCACAACTCAAAATGTTGCTTGCTTTTACATGTACATGTATAATTATGTTAAAATCGTTTGATGTACAATTGGTTTTGGTAAATAATTGTCATTACATACATTTCTCTCAGAAATCTCTCTGAATACGGAATAAAACAATTACTGTTCTCTGAATACGGAATAAAACAATCACTGTCTTTTGTTTCGGTAAATATGTGGTTTAATTGACTTTTGAAAAACGGATATTCACTTTGGCTGTTGGCCTCAGTGAATAATGGTTTTATTACAAAACATGCAAAAGTCAATAAAACCACATATTTACCTCTGACATAAAAAAAAAAGTAATTGTATGGTATCTTATATATACCGTTACTTTATAACTTTCCCCTGATTTGGAACGCCAAAGATGTAACTGAGGGATGTAATTCTTTATTCTAAAATAAAAGGTGATTGTAAGTAAAAGCCTTACATGTAGGTGAATAATGTTAGTTTTTCTAATTGTTGCACAGTACAATAAAAATCTGACTATTTAATTTTCTTAATAAGAACCTTCATCAACTGCAATACAGAGTGATTAAAGCTACACATGTACATGTATACCAGGGATTAAAGCTACACATGTACATGTATACCAGGGATTAAAGCTACACATGTACATGTATACCAGGGATTAAAGCTACACATGTGCATGTATACCAGGAAGTAAAGCTATACATGTACATGTATACCACGTCTGGAAAAATCAGCTAAGTAATACCTAAAATGAAAACTTCTATCTTCAAATTCATGTTCTTCTTGTCTGAAACCGTCTTCTCTGTACAGTTGATTTGTTGAGAATCCAACCCCAGAAAGCTGACAAACAGGCAAGTCATCAGTCCAGCTCAATGCATGACTCTGAAAAACATAAAACAGAAAAGCTGACAAACAGGCAAGCCATCAGTTCAGCTCAATGCGTGATTTTGAAAAATATAATACAGACAATTTGTTAGGAAAAACCTAAGTGACATAAGAATATTATTATACATGTGTGTTATATAAACAACGAATGTAAATTAGAAGAAAAAGGCTCTAATCAGACAATTACATACATGTAGATGCCTTTTATAGGCGACCTAAAGGTATGAGTTTTTCTCATTGTTGAAGGCAGTATGGTTGCCTATAATTGCTTACATCCACTTCATTTGAACTTTGTTGGATAGTTGTCTTATTGGGAATCATACCACATCTCCTTATTTTTATATCAACAAATAACAGGATTTTTTTCAGAAATTATTTTTTTGTTTGTTTTCACTATGTCCAGATGTCTTATGTCTTTTAATTTCTCATTCTTAAGTGAATATGTGATTTTAGAATTTAATAAAACAAATTGGGCAAAGGAAGATACTTTCTATAGCTAATTCAATCTGTATGTGAAAATTTTCAAAAAATAATTGAAGTTAAATTGTTGCCGAGTAACATGAATGTTTTTCATTAGAATAAAAAGGGAGGAAGATTTTGTAAATCCTTATTCTTGCATTAATTATATAATCAAAGAAATCAGAATTGTAATTTATAAAAAATAGCAAGATATACAAGATGTATAACTATATTGTTAACATGCCCTCCCCCCCCCCCCCCCCCCATATTTAAAAAAAATCCAAAATTAAGTGCACCTTCAAATAAATTAAAGGGGGAACCCTGAATAGTTGACACGAGTACAATAATCGGGATAGTTGGCAGATCTGCCAGGTGCCGATTTAACCAGGTACCGAAGTGACAATTAATTCGTGTTGGGATCTGAAAGGAGATTGTGTCCAGAGCCCTTCCTCTTCCACATACAGAAAGGATCAAATATCCGTAATATCTTATTTTTCTAAAAGTGATACCGTACCCCTAATCTAGGAGGAGACCCAACAGATCCATTTGCAAGTCTAGTTGCAGCCATATCACGATAAAGTTGGTTATGAAAATGGATTTCTACATTTTTTTAACCGGAAGTTGTTATCATTCGGAATTTTTTCATAGGTGTTGCAAAAACCTAAAACATTGCCCCGATGTCAAATTACTGATAAAAACCGATATATAAAATTTAGCAAGGTATCATCGCAACGACCATCAATGAGTATCCAATTCTCTAAGCGTCTTTTTGTTCATTTAACTGACAGCGTTAAGAATGTACTTAGATGAAATTTAAAAAATCTCGAATTTAAAATTGATACTATAAGTCAGAAGAGCTATATAAGCTATAGAATAGACTTAGGTGTAAAGGTACATAAGTGTATAGAACACATACACTTTATTGATATATTGTACATTTTTTTTAAAGATAGCACAGAGAACAAATCAGGTCGTTTAGACTATGAACATGCAGGAGAACTTTTGTTTTCAAATAAATGTATCGTTAAAAAAAACAGCATGCAGTGTTGAGTATTTCTTTAGAGCGGCCAGCTGATAAAGTCAACTGGTGTAGACGGAATTAGTGAAATTCTTAAATTTGTTAGTTTAAACAATATTTATTCAAATAAATTAATACACAGCATATAATTCTGATACATGAAATGAATAAATAGGATTCAGAAACAAGCAACATTTCATTTATTAATCTGTCTCCTAGTATTCAATTAAATTTCTTATATGGTCATTTTAATTAAGTATGGCATGTTCTGAAATAGTCAGTTTGTTAAAAAAAGATAAGATATTGAATTTTTATAAAAAAAAACGTGGTAAATAGTATAGAGTGTTGTGTGCAGAATAAAATGCTTAGGTTTTATAAACGATCGATCATTTGCATCACGGATTGAATCGTTTGGTTTTTATTATATATTTCTGTACCAAAATAAATAAAAGGCTGTTTTGCTCGTCCGATAGTACGTTTAAACCAAATAGCAAGGTATTAATGTCAAATTGAACTGGAAAATCTGGAATTGAAGCCAGAAGTTCCTGCCTTAAATTGGTATATATTGGACAGGATAATAGGAAATGAGAATGTGTTTCCAAGTCACCACAACGATAGTTTTTATATATAAATTTGCTAAATTCCGTAGAAATAGATAAGAATTTAATGAACTCGAATTCATCCTTAAGCGAGCTTGAAGAACTTGTCCAAATCGATTTCCTACATAGTAATAATTAAGGAGGGACTTTACTTTTTTTAGTACAAATTTGTTTCTTAAAAATTTTAAAGAGATTCACATTTTCTAACGTTTCAATGTAGTCTGTTCCATAAAGTGGTTGTCGCTGGGGAAAATACTCTGAGTATAAACGGGTCCGTGTGTTATATTGAATAACATTATTACATTGTCTTGTATAATGGTCATGTCTACTTCCCACTGAATCGGGCATAGCGTCTCTAAGATAATCTGGTGGTTTGTTGTTCAAAATTTTATGAAAAAGGACTAATCTATGATTGGATCTTCTTTCGGACAATGTTTCCCATTTAGTTTCAATATACAATTTATTAATCCTAGTTAGTTTGGTCCCACCTTTAACAATCCGCGCTGCATCGAGCTGGATATTCTCAAGTTTACTATGATTGATTAAACTTTGATTTTGAGAATCACATACAACGTCTGCATATTCCAATACAGGTTGAATAAATGATATATAAAAATTTTCAAGAGTAAACCTGTCAAGAATATTTTTCACTTTCCTCATTATACTTATTCATTTGTATGATTTTATAGTAATATATTCAATATGGTCATTCCAGCTGTTATTCGGGGGAAAAAAAGACATCCGAAAGATGGTATTTAGTTCCATTCGGTAGTATAATTGTAATCGGGAAGATGGAATGCACGTCTGTATGTATCTTTGGCAATCTGATTAAAATACAGATCCATAGTAACTCGCGTCCTTGTCGGAGCATAAAGAAATCAGAGATCTATATTTTAGTTAGATTGTATCTTTGAAGTGTTACTTTTTTACTCCTGTAAGTTAGATGGTTGAATTATTTCCTTACTTTGGATCAACATTTCATTAGGATGAATTATATGATGGCCATTTTTAAAGTGTATTCAGCAGGATATCAAATACAACACTTGAATTTTGCAATCAGACTAATTCTATAAGATAAAATCAAAGATATATAAAGCAAGTATATAATAAGTTCTTAGTTAATCATTAGAACACATAATTTTATCATCTATACTGACCGACTTTAGAAACGCAACACTAGATTATTCTTTTTTAATTTCCCATTTTTAAATATGCATTTTTTGTTAAACAAACTGATGAACAGAAAATTCTTTCATTACTTCATTGTTTAAAAAAAATTGGCAGTTCGAAAGTTGAATTGATAACGTCATTTCGAATGTTCAAATCTTGTGGTATACACTGAAACCCTGTTTTTCAACTTACCAATGAACGTGTCAACGTCAAAAGCAATGACTGCCTGTAACCAACGCCAAAATGATTGTGAGAAAGGTCAACCAATTCTGTTCGGCATGTTTAATGTTCTGTTTTGCACCTTCTGATTTTGCAGTTGTTCCACCCATTACAATGGGTTTTTGGCAATAATGCGCTTGACAATTTAGGGATTTAAATGTTTTTTCTGCATTCTATTCTTTGGTTGTTCAGTTGATGGAAAACATTTATGGCATGAATCTGTGTGCAATGGCATTCGGCAATTTGATTAGCAGTTGACGTTGCGGCCGTAAACATGTCTCGCAAATGACGTTGCGAAATCAAATTCTATTGACGTTGCATTGTCACTACATGTTGATCTGTCATTGGTGGTCTTCAACAAACCCCGTCTACCTGTATCGTTGTCGGAAAGACAGTAAGACGAGTTTCTGAAGTCAAATTGTCTGGTTGCAGCACGTTCACGTTTTCCTGTTTGCAATATTCTTATGGGCTGATTCAGTCTTTTATTCCTCAGTCTTGGCAATATGGAGATGGAACATTGGTTAACTGTTTCAAGTGTGGCCAAGGATTGAAAGAACTGTTTCACAAAGAGAAAAAAAAACTGAAAAAATCTTTTATGAGTTCCAAATTTCGCTTTACGAAATTCATGCGACTTCAATAATCCGGTATGTTCAATAACCACAGGTAAGTGGGATGTTGACTTTTTCTCAAGAGAAAGATGTATGGTATAAGCTTGAATAGTAGTTGTATGAGGATCAAACATGATTTGATAAAAAAAAATATCAACAAAATGAGTGTTGCGTTTTTAAGGTCGGTCAGTATATAATGAAACACCTTTAGATAATCATAATTCACTATACCAATTGCAGCATGGTTTCAGATCAAAAATTTGCTGTGAAACACAACTATATGTATACCAACATTTACCCAACAAATACTTCCAGATGATATGGTAAATGTTAAACAAACTGACGTAGTTGGTATGGATATCTGAAAAAGAAGCATGGTTATAGTACAGATCTGAAAAAGTAGTTGTTGACAGACACACATCAAATAGTTGTCCTGTCAGATTGTCAGGCGACCCTGAAGGCTCTGTTCCGCTTGGTCCATGTCTTTTCCTTATATTAACACAAATGACATGCCAGACAAACTAGCTCAAAAGTAATGTTCGCCTCTTTGCAGATGACAACATTGTGTATCTTAAAACATCATCACTTACTGGAAATCATACCAGGTTTCAATCAGACTTACGTAAATTGGAACAGTGGGAACAAAAATGTTTAATGTCCTTTAATCAAGACAAATGTGAAATCATCCACATAATAAAAAAGCGAAAACCTATAATTTTTAGATATACACTACAGGATCACATATTAAAATCATCAAACAAGGCAAAATATCTTGGTGTTACCATTACAGATGATCTAACATGGAACTTGCATATATACATGTGTAAATAACATCACAAATAAATCAAATGCATCACTGATATTTATCAAAAGAAATGTAAAAACCAACAGCATAAAAAACTAAAGCTGGCCAACTCTACAACAAAGAAGAAATCTTGCATCAGTCGGCACCATGCTCTACAAAATTCAACATCAATTAGTTTCCATATCAAACAAGCAATACTTAGTAACATCAAAAGAACATAAACTTGTACAACCATTATCTCCCACAAATTACCATTTATTTCCATTTTTTCCTAGAACAATAAGGTTGTGGAATTCCTTACCAAACCAGGTAGCCAGTAGCCAAGACTTGGATGTATTTAAGTCTGGTGCAAAATCCCAAATATATTTCCAGAACAAATAAATGTTTTTATTAATGACTAATTAAAAAAAAAAAAAAAGAAAATAAAATGTTTTTTTTGTAATCTAGTGTAAATATGTTCAGATAAAAAAAATCCATAGCATTTGCACGGTGTTTTCTTGTAATCTTTAACATATTGAAGTCAGTAAGAAGTATTGTGTAGATGTAAGTATGATAGGAATAATAACGAAACATAATTGAATTTGAATTTAATAGGGTATAAAACTGTTCGAAACTCAAATGTATCCTCTCTCAAAAAAATATATATAGAACCATTAACAAATCCAATTTTAGCTGGGTAAAAGGTAAGCATTATGCATCTACATTATACCCCGTTGATCTTGTCCATCACATTATTAGTAATTACCCAACTAGATATATTTAAGCCAGTATATACATGTCAAGCTCGTTCTATCACCAACCAATCAAACATTCGAGCAACAGGTGTACTTGCCACCCAGCTCAAGGTAAACAAAAGTAGACCAGTAAGTAAGTACATTTTTATCTTACTATTAGCCAATGCCTTTGACACAGAAACTAACCCAGGACCCAGAACACCAAAATGGCCCTGTGGTACTTGTGGCAAGGCTGTAACTTGGAAGACCAGGGCAGTATGTTGTGATAATTGCGATATATGGTTCCACATAGAATGCCAACATATCCACACAGGTGTGTTCAGATTCATGGATGCTAGTAATGTGTCCGCGGAATGTATCAATTGTGGAATGCCAAATTTTTCTACTGCTTTATTTAACTCCACCTATAGTATTGGAACAGAAAATCAGTTCTCAATCTTAAGCACAAGTTCTTTGGTCAGTAGCCCTGGTGTCCCAGTGGCTACCTCATCACCAAAAACTAAATGAAAAAAAAACAAGACATCCCATCTAAAACAACCTCGTCTAAATTTAAAAGACCAATTAGAGTGGTAAACATTAACTTTCAATCTATCTGTAATAAAAAACCAGAACTTGAAGAAATTATAAACTCTGCAAAACCTGATATAATCACAGGCACTGAAACTTGGTTAAATCCAAATATACCATCTCATGAACTATTTCCACCAAACCTTTACAATGTGTACCGAAAAGATAGAACACAAAATGACAAAGGAAAAAGTCACGGCGGAGTATTAATTGCTATTACTAAAGAGTTTATCAGCTCCAAAATAGATGAATTCCAATCAGATTGCGAAAGCGTGTGGGCGGAAATAAACATTTCAGGCACCAAAAAGATCATTGTCGGATGTTATTACCGACCCCCATCAGACGATGGAACATCTCTTGAAAATTTAAATATTTCTTTAACAAAAATTAAAAACATCTCAAATTCTAACATATGGCTTGGGGGAGACTTTAACTTAGGCCATATTGATTGGTCAATTCCATCCATTGTTGCTGGAAAACCAGAACAAAAATTACACCAACAACTCCTAGACATAGCTTTTGACCATAATTTACAACAAATGGTAGACAAAGAAACACGCAAAGACAGAATTCTAGATCTGTTCTTCACTAATAATCCATCTAGTGTAAATAAAATGACAACTTTACCACCAATCGGTAAGGCAGACCATGATATAGTATACCTTGAGATTGACACATGGCTGAAAAGGGTACGTACGGGAACTACCTAGAAAAATCATGAAATTCAATAAAGCCAACTGGGGAAACATTAAAAAAGATCTTATTGAAATATTAACAACAATACAAGAAAAATACAAACTCAGTAATGTAGATGAATTGTGGGAAAATTTTAAGATAGACCTCATAAAATCTATAGAAAAAAATGTACCACACAAAATGATCACATACAAACATAGATTACCTTGGGTAACAGACAAACTACGTAAGCTTATAAACAAGAAAAACAAAGCTTATCGAAAAAAGTCTCACATCGTCGCCTCCTATACAAGCTCAACTACTATGGTATTGAAAATAACACACTAAATTGGATTCAGGCATTTCTACATGACAGAACACAAACAGTCGTCATCAATGGCATTTCTTCCACCTCAGTACCCGTAACATCTGGTGTACCACAAGGAACAGTATTGGGCCCAATACTGTTCCTCATCTATATAAATGACCTACCTGAATATTTACAACACAGCAAGCTAAGACTCTTTGCAGACATATCCAACTAAGTCAGACATCACGTGACTTTTGTGACGTATACTAGCCGCCATTTTGTATTATATTGCCCCATATAAAATGCATAGGTGCTTCAATAAAGTTGAGTTTTCTCATGAACCTGACCCGTTTTCTAACTTTTGCAAATCAATCCTTGATATTCAAACATATTTCTATCAAACAATGTTGGTCCTAACAGTTTAATTTTTGATTAAATTCGGTCACTGGAGTACGTAAAAACAGGAACATATATATTGACGGGACTTGACACTACCTGATTGTAGTCGATTTTATCGTCGTGCCATAGTTAATAAAGATACGATACAGAAACGGACATGTGTTAAAAACGGACTCGCTATTATCCTAATAATTTCTGATATTATCAATAAAATGTCATTCAAACTAGTTTTATAGTGATGCTAGTGTATCAAACTTGTATTCTGTCACTTCAAATTTGTTAAAATCGCAAGCATTTTATCACAGGATTGTGCAGAATGCAATCAGGTAATAAAAAAATGGCGGCCATTGCCGCGATGATTTACAAATTCCCAAACTATTATAAAACACTTCACATCAAATAAATCAAACTTATTTTGGTAATTTTATATGACAAAATATATCTACTAAATGATAAAACTTGCATTTATTTACAATTAGAGTTATGTTGTTTATTTGTTGAGCAGTTCTGATAGTTTTTCAGTCAGACGCTACCAAAATCCGTAAATCTCGGGAAGTCTCGGGGAGTCCGAGATTTTATCAATTTTATACTGAAAAGCGTATTAGATTCATTTCCCGTTAGATATACTGTTCCCAGGTAAAAACATGTACTTTTTCTCGTTATTTCTCCGTTGACTCAATGCTAAATTACCGATACCCATGTCTACTTGTATAACAAATAAAGAAATTCCGTTAATAAAAATAAAACTTTGCAACTCGATTAAGTATATTCAAACATATATCTGGCGAAAAATACTATTTAAAACAGTTTAATTTCTGGGCAATTTCGGTCAAAAATCGATTTAAAAAAGTGAATATTTCGGGATTTTTCAAAATGGCGGATGATGTATATGGAAATGTTGCATCAAATCGAGGATTTGTATAGTAAGACTTTCCTTGATTTAATTTAATTTTCATGTAGAATCTCTGATGTTTCTGTTATTTTCTTTGGTGATATTTCGATATGATTGATTTCAAAATTTATTGATTAAAAAAATATTATTCTAAGTGTGACACGGGAAAATTTTATTTTGACAGATATCCAGGATATACTGTTACCAGATAATAGTTAACAATAAAATTTATAATAAAATTTTTTCTCTTCTTTTTTTAAAAGGTTTTTTTCCTGTTTTCTGTATAATTTATCTTTCTTTAGAAATATATTTATACATTCCTTTTAGAACAAAAAAATATTTACGTCCCAAGAGAGAAAAAATCCCAACAATTATTATAGATAAATATTCCATACCTTCAAAATCCCATCACTTGACGAACAGGTGAACTCTGACTTTGGATGTAATGTTACATAACAATATATTGTTAGGTAGACGTGCAAACCAAAAGCAACCAGGTGACATTAAACATCCTGTGTATACATGTATTACCAGAGTTTAAATTTTGTGATATACAAAAGTTTTCATAACTGTACAAATAAATATCTTCTCTTCCCCGTGTCAAACCAGAAGAAGTATGTATCATAATAAACTTAAAGAAAATATGAATATTATAAAAAAAAATCTTTAAAAAAATAATTTTTGCTTTAAAAGATAATCAAACTAATATTTATGTTTCTTTATTTTGTATTATTTCGTAAAAAATTAAACGAGATTTCATTGAATATGATTTTATTATTTATTTTTTTAATTCAATATTTTAAGCAAAATCAAGGCATTCAATAAATCGATATAAAGTTAAACTTGTGTAAAAAAATTTGTTATTGTATACATTTCAACAGAGACATATAATACAATTGCTCTGATTTCAACAACATTGTATACCCGACAATATTTATCGACAGAGTTATCGGTCCTGAATAGGACTGATATAGTTGGGTATGTGACAGCATAATTTACAGGGAAATAAAAACACAGGATAATTGTCATAATCTGCAACTAGATCTAGACTCAGCAGCACGATGGGAGTCAGATTGGCTCATGGCATTTCACCCTGATAAATGTACCAACCTTACCATCTCACAAAAGAAAAATAACTACCGGCATAATTACATCCTCCACAATCACATTCTTGAATCAGTAACATCTGCAAAATACCTCGGCATCACCTTACAATCCAATCTTAAGTGGAACAAGCACATAGACAGTATAGTATCAAATGGGAACAGATCACTTGGTTTTTTAAAAAGAAATTTAAAAGTTACTAACACAGAAATAAAACTTGTCAAGAGCATACCAGGCACTAGTAAGACCCAAACTAGAATATAGTTGTAGTGTCTGGGACCCCCATATGAAAGATCAACAGATAAAATTAGAAAATGTGCAGAGACGAGCTGCTCGTTATGTACACAACAACTACGATTACACGAGCAGTGTCACAAACATGCTAAATCAGTTGAAATGGCCACCACTAGCTGAGAGACGCCTAAAAACTATTTTACAAAGTAATACACTGTCTTGTAGCCATTCCATCGCATATTCTTGAACAAACAGACAGCAGAACAAGACAAAACCATACTCAGACATATAGACACATCCAAACTTCCAAGGACACATACAAATGGTCGTACTTCCCGCGAACAATTATTCAGTGGAACTTACTACCACAAACTGTTATTGAAACCGCCACTGTTGACAGCTTTAGAGATCAGCTAACACCAGCTGTTCTCTCTAGCTTCAAATAAACAAATCCAAACCAAAACATGTACATAAATTGCATATTTTTTAATCACAATCTGTATATACAAACACTTTAATTGTTAGTAAATATTTTTATTAATTCATATAAAAAAAAAATTTGTCAATCACGCATGCGCAACAACATGTATTCTTCAGTATTGAAGCCTTGTTGACCTAAAGAAGAAGAAGAAGAAGGGATATAATATGATAGTATTTCAAGGTTTTAGCAAACGATATTAAGCAGTGCACTTTCTTGTAAATTTTCTTTTCGGTCTTCAGTTAGATTTTAAATTTATTCGGAAAATCTCTAAGTTTTACCTTAACGATATTGTAACGGGTTTGCAATGATTGATAGCATTCACATACTTTGACAGACAACGTAATATCATGACCAAACTCATGAAGTCATTTAACCCCTCATTAATTTCAATGTCCAACATTGTGTTGCATTATTGAATCCTTGCATTTAATCATGATATATCATCTTGTGTAAAACTACCGTCATTCCAACATTTTTCCAAAAAAAAGTAGTAGAAGACTACTAGTCCAAATAATTACTACATGCCTGCAATGGGCTATAATTTCCAGAAATTTTTGACCCCCCCCCCCCCCCCCAAACATGGAAGACATGCAAAGTAAAAAAAAAAATCCTAGATTTTTGTCAGATTTCGCAAATATTACTGGATTTCCACCTATTTGTATAACCAAATTTTTGTCTTGTGTCTAAATAAATCTGGAAATCCAGCATCTTCCATAGGGTTTAAGCATAAAAAAATGTCTGGAATCCCAGCATCTTCCATAGGGGGTGGGGGGATCCAACTATTTCTGGAATAGTCCAATCATGGTAATACCTACAATATAAGCCAATGACTTCTTTTATGGAATCAAGTTATTTAATTCATTTATAAATTTCCATGTGATATAGCTGATTTAAATGACTCTTAATTTTTCGACTAAAATTAAGAAATCTTGAAACAAGTCGGTCTGGATCATCATTAGACTGACAAACATTTGAAACGGATCTCTTTATACACACATGCAGAAATTGAAAATAACTCAGAACAGTCAGATACAGTTTACAACAAAACTACAATAAAGCGACTTAGACATATCTCAGACCATGATAATGATATCATACCAAAGACCAAACTAATTACATGATTATATATATATATATTATTTCTGATCCTGACAGTGACTTGTCTCATTGCACTATTTGTTTCATCTTGATCTGGTACTCTATTTCTTTAAGTACAAAAACAAATGTAATATTAAGGTTTAAAATCTGCCATAAATGTCAGATATCAATGTCAGATATCAGAAACAGGTTAGAACATGTAGAAAAATAAAAGTAAGTTATTTGCAGATCTCCATGTGCATACAGCATGTACAGTTTTTCATTGTGCAGTTTCCCATCATAGCCATCTTTGTATATATATAGTATTTTAGACATGATTAAAAAAAAAAACGAACAAAAATCCAACAAATTCAATATAGTCAATAATTTCTTGAAAAACTAAAAGTTCAAAATTTAAATATATAGTTCTATTGCATTGAGTTTGTCATTGTCTTATTATGCTCATTGAAGAAATCACTCTAAAATATGACTTAATATATTTCCAGTGATGTCATTAAGAGGAGAAGTTCTTTCACTTTATAGAAGAATATTTAGACTATCCAGCCAATGGAAAAATATCACAGCTAGCATTGAAGATTCAGCCACAGAAAAGATTTACATCCAAAATGAAGCTAGAACATTATTTCACAAAAACAAAAATGTAAGGTGGATTAATGTGTGTTTTTTTCAAATCCTGGATCCACACCTGAAAGTAAAAGAATAGAACTATTACAATGTACATATTATTTACAGTACACAAAAAGTGATTCACTTAAAAATTCTTTCTGGTAAAATTTCAAAGTGAATGCTCAATCCAGCCATGCAAGTGATGGTGTTTCACCCTGAGATATTTGTCTATAAATTCCATTTGAATATGTGATGCCCAATTGCCACCTTTAATCACCTTGTCTACATGGAATCCTCAGTAACTGACTGACCTTACATGTATGTCATGACTAGAAAAATAAAGGGTAAAAAGAGATCTTGTAATTAACGATTTAAAATTGTGAAAGAGGGCAGACGGAACAGTTTCTAACTTTCATCAGTGTTGTATGAATAAACTAGCATTAACTTATAAAAAAAAAATAGATTTCCAATGTCCTCCTTGTTGATCATATTTCATTGTCATCACTAAAACAAACAAAAAATCTTTTAACTTTTTAATGAAATGTAGGCATGAGATCACTAACAATGTTATTGTCCACATATTTCTATTTCCAGGGGGAATAATTCATGTTATTTGTAAAATGTTGGTTGGCACTCTTCCAAGATTGATTGATTGGTGTTTAATGCCAATTTCAGCACTATTGTTCTATTTTGTGGCAGTCAGTTTGTATTGTTGGAGGAAGCCAAAGAGAACCACCAACCTCCAGTAGGAAAACTGACAATCCTAGTCAATTAAGATTGGATTCAAGTGCACCTGCCACAGGCAGGATTCGATCTCAAAACCTCAGTGTTGACAGGATAGTGATATAGTAGTTCAACTACTTAGACCACTAAACCACCAAGGCCCTACACTGTTCAAAGACCTTACTGACAAAAGCTTTGATATAAACTTCACAAACATTTGATAAGAAATGATAAAAAAGTGTGGAAGTGCTTACAATGCAATGTTCAATATAAATTACATTTCAAAGAGACATAACTCCTGTAAAGATAATAGATCAGTGCAGATTTTCTAACTTACCAAAGACATTGCTGAAATAAACCTATGATATGAATTTCTTAACAATCCTACAAAAAATGTAAGCGTGAGAGTGCTTACAATACAATTTTCTTTATAATTAATTTTTCCAAGGGACATAACGCTTTTGAAAATAGTTGATTGGCACTGATTTTAGAACTTCTCCAAGACATTGATGAAATAAACCTTTGACATATATTTCTTAAATATATAATATGGCAAGAATTGTACACTTGAGAGGGCTTACAATGCAATTTTCAATAGAATTTTTATTTTTAAGGGACATTGTCACATAACTCCTGCAAAAATATTTGTTTGGTACTGATATTTGAAGGTGTCATAATCATTGCTGATGTAAACCTGTGATAAAAATTTCATAACAATTATAAAAGAAATGTAGATTTGAGAGCTCTTACACTACAATTTTCTATATAATGAATATTTCCAAGGGGCGTACTGTAAATTCAGAAATTATTGTGAGTTTTTTGTCGTGCCTGCGACTTTTGTCGCAGAAAGCTCGACATAGGGATAGTGATCCGGCGGCGGCGGCGTTAGCTAACTTCCTAAAAGCTTTATATTTTAGAAGCTAGAAGACCTGGATGCTTCATACTTTGTATATGGATGCCTCATGTTACGAAGTTTCCGTCAGTCACATGTCCAATGTCCTTGACCTCATTTTCATGGTTCAGTGACTACTTGAAAAAAAAGTCAACATTTTTTGTAATGTTAATTTCTTTCTTATTATGAGTAAAAGGATAACTATATTTAGTATGTGTGTACCTTGCAAGGTCCTCATGCCCATCAGACAATTTTCATTTGACCTCGACCTCATTTCATGGATCAGTGAACCAGGTTAAGTTTTCGTGGTCAAGTCCATATATCAGATACTATAAGCAGTAGGTCTACTATATTTGGTATATGGAATGATTGTAAGGTGTACATGTCCAACTGGTAGGTGTCATGTGACCTTGACCTCATTTTCATGGTTCAGTGGTCAAAGTTAAGTTTTTGAGTTTTGGTCTTTTTTTCTAATACTATATGCAATAGGTCAACTATAAATGGTGTATGGAATGATTGTAAGGTGTACATGTCTAGCTGGCAGGTGTCATCTGACCTTGACCTCATTTTCATGGTTCAGTGGTCAAAGTTAAGTTTTTGAGTTTTGGTCTTTTTTTCTAATACTATATGCAATAGTTCAACTATATTTGGTGTATGGAAATATTTTATGATCTATATGTCAGTCACGCAGGTTTTATTTGGCCTTGACCTCATTTTCAAGGTTCATTGCTCAGTGTTAAGTTTTTGTGTTTTGGTCTGTTTTTCTTATACTGTATGCAATAGGTCAACTATATTTGGTGTAAGGAATGATTGTAAGGTGTACATGTCTAGCTGGCAGGTGTCATCTGACCTTGACCTCATTTTCATGGATCAGTGGTCAAAGTTAAGTTTTTGAGTTTTGGTCTTTTTTTCTAATACTATATGCAATTATAGTTCAACTATATTTGGTGTATGGAAATATTTTATGATCTATATGTCAGTCACGCAGGTTTTATTTTACTTTGACCTCATTTTCAAGGTTCATTGCTCAGTGTTAAGTTTTTGTGTTTTGGTCTGTTTTTCTTACACTATAAGCAATAGGTCAACTATATTTGTTGTATGGAAGAATTGTTAGCTATACATGACTGCCTAGCATGGTTCATCTGACCTTGACCTCATTTTCATGGTTCATTGGTCAATGTTTAGTTAACTTTGTTAATGTTAAGTTTATGTGACAGTTGTAATAAAGCTTTATATTTAGGACTATCAACATAATATCAATGATTAATAAAGAAGGTGAGACATTTCAGCGTGTGCACTCTTGTTATTATTAAATGGAAATAATGCGACTTGGTGAGTATCGCAATAATAAGAACTCGCATTCTGACATCTGATACATATATCTGTATTCAGATTTTCCTAAAATCGCAATAATTCATCTCGCATTTATGTCCACTCTTCAAAAATCATAATAAGAAGTGCACACAATAATTTCTGAATTTACAGTATTAGAAATAGTTGATCAGCACTGACTAAAATTTAAACTTGTCTGAGACATTGCTGATATAAATCTTTGATATGAATTTCTTAAATATATGGCAAGAATTGAACCCTTGAGAGTGCTTACAATGCAATTTTCTTTAGAATTTTTATCTCCTTTAAAAATAATTGTTTGTCATTGATTAAGAACTTGCCATAACATTGCTGATATAAACATATGATATAAATTTCATACAAATCTGGCAAGAATTGTACATGTAAGAAACCTATCAAGACTGGACAGACAGATGACGGTATTTCTATGTCCCCTGCAACTTGTTGTGCTGGGGACTATAACTTTATGAACTTATGGTTAAAATAAATTATATTGAATCCATAAAAAGGGGTAAGCCATCCCTCCTTCTTGTAGTAGTATAAGAATCATTTTGGAACTATAGACGTCTTTGTGATCATTTTGGAGCATGCAAATTTCTGTGAAATCCTGATTTTTTTTAGCATTACTATAATAAAATTTATATGTTTTAGGAGAAAAATATCACTTTCACTTCACAGTTTACAGCTGTTCTTAGCATCAATTAAAATTTACAAAGACTGGGCCCATGATGGCATATTTTCATTTTTAATTAAACTGTTGTGTAATCCCATATTGATTATTGCCTAATAATTCAAACATAACAGATACAGCAATTGAGCCATTACAAGATTTAATTTATCTTTACAGCTACAAAATGAGGAGGAGATAAAAATGCACATTAAAGAAGCAGAAACAAGATTAGAAATGGGTATGTTTTAAAAATCTTAAGGATTTTTACTGAAACTTTTATTTTGCACAGAAACTGAGTTAGAAAACTAGACGACTCATCTATAATTAATGAACAGCTGAGGTCAATATTAAAAATGAGCAACCCATGTTAACTCATTAGCACATTGACAGAAACTAAGATATTATTATTGAACAAATGGCCTAATATTATTTGTACTTGTGCATACTGTAGCTCAGATTCCTTGTCCAGGTTTGGCTTTACTTTTGACTTTTTCTGGTTTTATCAGCTCTTCCACGTTTGTATTAGGTTTTGGACTTTCAAATATTTTAATTGAAGAGACATTTATTGTCGAAATGCACATATGGTGCAATAAACATATGGTGCAATAAAATTGCTACTGTTAATGTTATTGTAACTATGGAAATAATTGATAACAAAATATAATTGCAAATACAGGTCTAATTTTCACATGGACTACCAGATTTCTAGTTTTGGTGTTCTTCATGACTTCTGCTTAAACATTTCTTTTTAAACCTTATTTATGGTAAATAATACATGTAGTTTTTTCGATTTAACTTATAAATCGTTTCCAAACTTTGCAAAATACTAAGAAAGAGCAGACATTTTTTATTGTGTCATAAAATTGTAACTTGTTTTTTACAATCTCTAAATGTATGCAAAGTTATTGTCTGCTGTAATTGTAAGGGCTATTCCGTTAAAATGTATGTGGGAGGGTAGGAAGGGACTTTCAAAATATCCCTACAACCAACAACCAGTTTTTAGAAATTTTGCATAATAGTAATAGACGCATACTGAAAAAAAGACCCATGACCCACATTCAATAATTAAACTTCCCTTCCTACCCTCCCACATACATTTTAATGGAATAGCCCTAATGTCAAAACATTATATATATTGTTCTTGTCACAACAATTTCTGTGTTCTGTTGGGATACACTTTTACCCTATTGTTCAATATGGTTAAAATTCGATTTTTAGCTTTCCATTCAATTTTCAATTCAGCCATGCTAGATCTATGTGATCACTCCAGATTTTGAAATGGTGCAGAATTCTAAGTTGAAGACATATCATGAAACTGATTATGTGTTTTTATAACTTGCAGAAACTTTATACAACATTTCAATCATCTACTGCAATCTTTCTACATGTCATTTGCCCTTAAATTAAGAAAATGTTGTTCGAACGGCTACTTTATTTTAGATATACACTTGTATATAGTTCTTTTGTAAATCAAATGGATCATATAATTATGATACAGTACACTACAACATATAATATATAATAAGCAAGTCTAAAAGGGTACAACAAATGTTAAATATTTTGGATAACTAATATCCTTCATCAGTAAGATGTCAAATGATTCTTATCTTGACATGTGGTAGTCAAACTGAAATAATAATCTTGATCGTTATACAAATTATCACCAATCAATACAATGAAAATGAGATAAAACAAAAAATGTCCGACTACATGTACAATGTAGCTAAAAAAATGGCTGGATCACAGCACCAATGATCATGATGATGCTTTGATTTTATATAACTTATCAGTATCAATGACTAATTTTAACTTTATAACAAACTGCTAAATAAATAAGGTCTAAAAAAGTTTTTTGAGATCACATGCATTATTTTACTTAATAAGGTCATGGAAAAATAAAGGTCTACTTCAAGTAAGTAATGCCAACTATCATGACTATATATAATTCTTTATGGCGTGTTATTTTTCAGCAATACATTACAAGATGCCATACCCAAGACCTGTAAGTACCATGTATGTATATAAGAGGGGCGTAAAGGGGGGGGGGTTATCTGCATGCGAAATAAAATTGCCATTTCACGATGAACGAACAATTTAAAAATTTCTTGCACCTTGATCTTTTACCGATTTCACGAAACATGGTAAAAAACGAACTATTTTCACGGCTGCACGTGAAATATAAATGGCAAAACACGTTGCAAGAAACATAACCCTTTACCACCCTCATATAATATAGGGAAGTAAAATTAGTGAAGAATTACTGATCCAGGCCAGTACTTGCTCGGATAATTTTCAAAAATATACACGTTTTATGCGTTGTGGGTCACTGTCTAATGGACTTAATACCCTAGACAAATTATTATCTGGGCCTAGACCCTAATAGAAGGATTTATATATCATGATTAATTGCTCATTAACTACATGTACTAATTAACTAAATATTTATCTTATCAATTAATTAACTAACACATATTGACTATACATTATTACAAAGTCAAACCAGATCAAACAATTATGTTTTTGATCGTAAAGAAAACACATTTACGAAGGATTGAACATAAGAAATCACTGAGTTGTTCTCAAAAAAAAAAAATGGATGAAAAGAAGAATACAATATTCAAACAGTCTAGTATCATTACATGAACTATGAACAGCAATATAAAGATCCTTACACCGCATCCCTGTCAGATACATCTTATTTTACCTTTATTTTTGTTAAGTATGTATGAACATTTTCTAACATGTCTAAGGTCTTGAATAGTTCGATCGTATTCTGAAATTTCTGTGTATTCATTGCTTCAAATTAAAAGAAATTTATTATTAAGGCATATTTATCTTCTGCATGGACTTTATTTTTTTAAATATATGTTTGATTCTACATTTCTTGAAAGAAACGAAAAATTTGTTTAAAAAGAGAAGGAAAAAATAGTGCGTTTGTATTAAAAATGAGGGAAAAATAAATACAACATTTAGTTTTAAAAAAAATCTTGTTCCTGTAGGTTTTTGAAAAAAATCCTTTCTTTTTGATAAATGTTGAAAAAAAAAAATTTTTTCAGCTTCTATCAAAATCAGACTTCCCCTGAGAAAAGACACCCTGTCCCACTAAAGATTAATGGTTGGTGTTACCACACAAAAATGTCAAACGTAAATCAATCTTGTTAAATTGGAAATCTAACTTTCAGTATGATGGAAAATTTCACAGTTTATAGTAATATAGATAACAGTTTACTGTTTATGGCAATCTTAGTTAACTAAAGGCTATTCTCTATTAAAATGATGAGGGTGGGAAGGAAAGGTCATTTTAAAATCCCCATTCAGCCAAAATACTTTCTTTGAGTAACTATGTTAATCAAATGGACATTATCCCTATACAATAATAAATGACTCATGACCAGCTGCTTGTGACTTCTCTACATACCCTCCCACATTCATTGTAATGGAACATTACTTATTAGATTGACACATGACATGTCTCGGGTGGGCTTACAGATGTTCCAGTTGATTAAGGAATGATAATCAATACAGCTTAATATAAAACTTTATAATGTCAATTCATCAGACTGTGCCTTGTGGACATATTTGAAAGTGATTTCAAACAAAGAACACTCTCAAGAGGACACATTGTAACCTTTCTGTTCATGTCTGCAAGTCAGTTTAAATATTCCAACATAACCTGTTGTACGCAGTTGTTTTAATTTATATTGGTAGGTCGCAAGAAAACTTGGTGCACATTTTTGTATAAAATATTATTGATTGGCTGTTTCAGAATCTGAAGAATTAATGGTATAAATCTAATTGTTGGAAACCAAAATTCATACAAGTTACCTTATTTTTTAAATATCCGATGTTGAAGTAGTCGATCACTACATTTTTGACAATTTTACCCAAAATGCACTGGATTCTGAAACTGCTAATAAGTGTAGCGCTCAGATAACTCTGAAAACACTGCTGACACAATCAATCTTTTTTACCATCATAATGAATGGAAATTCAATTTGTTTAATAGAAACGTGTGTGTGAGATGTGGAGTAAACTGTAATAAGTCAATAACCCACTCAACAGACCCAGTTGTGATATAAGTATTTTCTACGGTCATTCTTTTTAAATATCACCATGGAATTTGAAATAGACCCGTTACAATGAAATTATTGTACGGAATTTATGATACATTTTAAATTTTAAAATTTATTCAGATAGCACTGTGTGTCATACAAAAATGGACACCACAATAAGTATACAAAAGAAGTACCGGTATTCAGTTCATTACTTTTGATTGTATTTCAGATGAATTTACCTCAGACATTATTACCACCCACAGGGAAGAAATTAAAGAAAGCTCAGAAAAGGATGTTAGAACAATCAAAACCGCTATATCTAAAGTCTTATGATGATACATGAATTATTTTATGTTTATGTAAATAGACTTGTAAATAGATTATATTATTTTATTGACAGGATTGAGTTTTTTATACATATAAGTCTCCTGTCCAGAGTTATAAAACTCAAGATTTTTGACAGTTCTTCACTTGAAATCTATCACAGTTAATCTCAAATTCAAGTATTTGGACAATTCTACCATGTTTCAACAGGATATTTATAAAATTAATGAGAATCTCAAACTAAGAAATACAAATCCTAGTTGAAAAGGAGTACCAAAGAAATTAAATTACTTGAGGACTATTTTAAATTTGCACATAATGTTCGGAAATGCATAATGTATAGCTCAGACAAATTTATGAATTTTTGGGCCAAATATGATAGCCTCACTGCCCCTTGTCCTTTATAAATCTCTAGTTATAGACACTGAAGTCAGTTAAACGTATGCATATACAGGAGTGTGCTCCTTACGCAGAAACTGCTCCAACAAAGTTATGAGGAGGACAGATTAAAAATGACACTCCGTAAATTTTACGGACACCATCACGAATTGGTTGATCCATACGATGTGTCTTTGTCCAAACTAACTAAGGACATTTTTACCACGTGTTAGATTGTGGTTTGTCATTACGTCGTCTGATCTTTTAATTACCGAACGTGACTTATCCCCGATTGTGACTGTTTTGCTGAGTGTGAAACCGCATTGCTATAAGATGTGTCACGGTACTTTTCTATCCCAAATTCATGTATTTAATTTTGATGTTATATTTGTTATTCTCGTCGGATTTTGTCAAATGTCTTAACGTCTTTTCTGTTATATTCGTGTGTTATGGTAAAGATAATTAATCACCCTCTTCATTTATTAGATTTTAGTTTGGTTCAACGAAATTTATAAGATATATTTGGTTTACAGTTTGATTCAGAAGAAACACCGACATAGCTAGATAATACAATTAATTATCTAATTACTACCACAATTTGATATTAATAGTATTGTAATTTTCATTGTTATTAATAAATGTAATGTCAGTATTACAGATCTAATCTTGAATCAATCCTAATTCTATCTTATTTTTGGGAAATATTTTTACAAATTCAAATGTGGCGTCACTTTGTGTGTTTTTTTAGAATTTCAAATGTGACGTCACTATGTGCGTTGAGGCTTTGACTAACTCGGCTGTGTATTTTTATGTGTTGGATTAAGTTGTTTTATGTAATGTATACGTTTTTATTCTGTAGTTAGTCCCCTCTTCGGTTTTATCATGTATATCTATTATATAGTCATTTTATAAAATTTACTGTTTGCAAAAGTATATATTATTCTAAATAATAAGGATGTTCTTGTCCCAGGCAGAAAACCCTGGCCTTGTTAAGCTCTACTTTTTGGAAGTTTTGGTCCTCGGTGCTCTTCAGCTTTGTACTTGTTTTGGCTTTCAAACTTTTTTCATCTGAGCGTCACTGGTTAGTCTTGTGTGGACGAGACGCACGTCTGGCGTATTAAATTCTAAACCTAGTACCTTTTTTTAGCTATTATTCGTGTGTTTCTTTGTCCTATATGTATTCCCATTTATTTGTATTGTAGTCATGTCATGTAATGTTGTCATTTTATTATTATATTTAACATTGCCATAAAAGCGGGAGGTTTGGCATGCCACAAAACCAGGTTCAACCCACCATTTTTTTCTTAAAGTGTCCTGTACCAAGTCAGGAAAATGTCCATTGTTATATTATAGTTCGTTTCTGTGTGTGTTACATTTTAATGTTGTGTTTTTGTTGTGTCGTTGTTCTCCTCTTATATTTGATGCGTTTCACTCAGTTTTAGTTTGTAACCCGGATTTGTTTTTATCTCTATCGATTTATGAGTTTCGAACAGCGGTATACTTCTGTTACCTTTATTTAATGTTATACCTAAAATAAGACATGTTGGACTACTATGTTTCAGTTCTGAAAATCATTGGATTTTAGTTATATATAAATGGAAGGCGAGTTAGTTGATTGAAGATTTTATCTAGTATCTTATGAATTTCAGCAAAGGCAGGTTTTTATAACATATAAGTCATTAATCTGTGACAGTCTTTGTTAAAATGTTTTTACACTTGGGTGATTTAGAGCTTACATGAGGGTAGGAATGCGGTAGCCCACATGATGAATGACTGTAAAATATTTGTTAAAATAAGCTACAAAATCAGATTTGACGAATGACGATAAACAATTAAGGCTCATCTGATGCTAATGCCTGTCTATTGTTAAATACTGCATATTGACCTCCAGAATTATTTGGCTTGCTGTCTCACATTATCTTTGTGGATTTATATGTGAATTTTTTCAGAAACTAAAGTAGCAACTCCCTTTTGCAAGTAAAATCCTATTCTGTTCTGAACATGCATCAAATATTTGCCACTGGGTGTTAAGCAAATGATCAATCAGTCAATCCTATTCAGTTATACATTGTGGAAACTTCTAACCTTTCTTTCAAAAGCTTCCTGATGCAGATTCAAGGAAGGATTTATATAGTAAGAATCTTACTATATAAATCTTTATTTATATAAAAATAGGGAGATGTGGTATGATTACAAATAAGACAAATATCCACCAAAGACCAAAGGACAAGGGTGTGAACAACTACACTGAATGTTGAGTTTTGAATACAAATTTTAAATGTATCAATATACTATAATATGAATTATAGATGTTGGGTATATTTAACATAAAAATAAATAGATGTGTTATGATTGCCAATGAGACAAATGGACAAGGATGTCAACAACTATAGGCTACTGTACGACCGTCACCAAAGAGACAAACCCATACTGTATAGTAGGTTCTCAAACCGATACCTTATAGTAAGTTATCAAACCCATACCGTATAATACATGTAATAGGTTTTAAAAGTCCTCGGCATGGCATTGTGGGAAACAATTAAAAAGTGATAACCGTATTTATGCTAAAAGCAACAAAGGAATAACGAATAAGGCTGACATCAACCAACAACAACCACATAATTACAAACACCTGACTAGGGACATGCACACAAAGAATGTTGCAAGGTTAAACATGTTTGTGAGTGCTCATTCGTCCTTTACCTGGGATAATGATGAAACACACAACATAAAAACAAACTATAAAAATCAGCTGGAAAATGCCTGGCTCATCAGATTAGTACAAAGCACACAAAACAGCCTTAAAAAAAAGCAAAAAATCATCCATTTTGATGACTCATTACTTAAAGTTTTCTGATAATATAAAAATAAGGAGATGTGGTATGATTGCCAATGAGACAAATATCCACCAAAGTTCAAATGAAATGGATGTACACAATTATACCGTACGGCCTTCAACAATGAGAAAAACCTATACCGTATAGTTGGCTATAAAAGGTCCTGACATGAACAATATGAAACAATTCAATTGAGAAAACTAACTGCCTAATTTATAACAAAACAATTTAGGAAAAACAAATAAGACAGACATGAACCAACGACAACCACCCAACTACAGGCTCCCTGACTTGGGACAGGCACATAATGAATGTGCATAATGCACATAAAAACAAGATCAGTCTTTCAGTTACTATAAACGATAGGTTAAGTATATTTTAGTTTAAACAGTATTTATTAATGAAAAAATTTTCAAGAATATAATATGACAATACAATGTTAGATAAAGTTCAGATATGGGATTCGGAAACAAGTTTGGAAAAACTTATATAAATCCGTCTCCCAAAAAAAAAAATATCTATTTAACAAACAATATTACGTGCCAACAGTATATTCAGTTTAAGGTAGCATATGATAAATTGAATAAATACACACACACAAAAAAAAAATAAAAAAAATACAACTAACAAATAAAAGAAATTAAAAGAAAGAAAATGTGAAACAAAACAAAAAAATGAAAAAAAAATGAAACAGTCGACTCTACTTTACTTTCTTGATAGATAGTCACTGAAACCAACACACATGTCCGACTATAGTCATTTACGACGGACAATCCACTCGATTTTACATCGTTTTTTTTTATATATATATATATACAAGATCAACTTTCAAAACGTTTTGTTTTATTTATGTATTCAGAAACTTTATGAAATATTTGCATATTGTCCTCGTCAGACTTTAAACTGTCCCCATATAAGATAATCTTAAGATTAAAACAAGAGACCGTCCCGATAGTATCCCTTCGAATTTCATTATATTTTGGATATTTGAGGAAGTAATGAGAGGTAGTTTCTACACGACCACAGGAACACAGTGCGTTTTCGATAAGATTTTTTTTAAATAGATGGTCCCTTAGAACACTACTTGGAGTGGTGTCTTCCTCGAATGCCAACATTTTATATGTTACCTATTCCTTGAATGCCAACAAAAATATTTCAATGGATGTTTATAAAATAACAATAGGTATTTTTATAAGTATTTAACTGTTAAATAATTAGTGAACTTGATAAAATTGCAACATTTTATCACTTTTTGATAAGAAAAAATAGTAGACATTAGGATAAAATTATTATGAATTTTAAAGAAATAAAGAAGATGAAAACATTTTTATTACTTTTTATTAAAAAAAAAGATATTTTGAGAATGGAAATGCTTATTAACATAAGACATTAAAAAAATGATATTAGAGATTTATTTAATTCCATATCATTTTAAATATTATATTATATAGACTATAGTTAATATGAACTAAATGAAGATTTCAATTGAATACTAGTAAGTAATTAAACTTTAACAAGAGGGCACACGCTGAAATGTCTCGCCTTCTTTACTAATCATTGATATTATGTTGATAGTTCTAAATATAAAGCTTTACTACAACTATCACATAAATTTAACATGATCCAAGAAAATGAGGTCAAGGTCATATAAACCAAACAAGAAATACATGTACACCTTACAATCATTCAATACACTAAATATAGTTGACCTATTGCTTATAGTTTCTAAGATACAGACTTAACCAAGAAAACTAAATATTGACTAATGAACCATGAAAATGAGGTCAAGGTCAGATGAACCATGCCAGGCAGACATGTACAGCTTGCAATCATTCCATACACCAAATATAGTTGACCTATTGCATATAGTATTAGAAAAAAAGACCAAAACTCAAAAATTTAACATTGACCACTGAACCATGAAAATGAGGTCAACGTCAGAAGACACCTGCGAGCTAGACATGTACACCTTACAATCATTCCATACACCAAATATAGTAGACCTATTGCATACAGTATAAGAAAAAACAGACCAAAGCACAAAAACTTAACTTTAACCACTGAACCATGAAAATGAGGTCAAGGTCAGATGAAACCTGCCAGTTGGACATGTACACCTTACAGTCCTTCCATACACCGAATATGCTAGACCTATTGCTTCTAGTATCTGAGATATAGACTTGACCACCAAAACTTAACCTTGATCACTGATCCATGAAATGAGGTCAACGTCAAGTGAAAACTGTCTGATGGGCACGAGGACCTTGCAAGGTACGCACATACCAAATATAGTTATCCTATTACTCATTATAAGAGAGAAATTAACATTACAAAAAATCTTAACTTTTTTCAAGTAGTCACTGAACCATGAAAATGAGGTCATGGACAATGGACATGTGACAAACGGAAAATTCGTAACATAAGGCATCTATATACAAAGTATGAAGCATCCAGGTCTTCCACCTTCTAAAATACAAATCTTTAAAGAAGTTAGCTAACACCGCCGCATCACTATCCCTATGTCGAGCTTTCTGCGACAAAAGTCGCATGCTCGACAAAAATCATCAAAACTTATTAAGTAAATTTGATAACTTCGAAGCTGGAAACTTTAAAAGTTTCAAGAAAATCCATAATAATGGGGAAACAAGAATTCCGATGAGTTGCGAACATTTTAAACACCTAAACAATATTATTTTATGAATCAATTACAATCAAAAAAAGGTGTAGTATTATTATCAAGAAAAATATCCTGAACAAACTGAACAAAAATAAAAACATTGTAATCTAACACGTGATACAAAGTTTCAAGAAATTCCATCAAGTAATATGGGAGGATATTACAGCACACACAACTATAGAAATATTGAAAAAAAAAAACTTCAAAGACTAAAGAGGCTATTGTAGAATTTGAGCAAACTGGAATTCCTGACAATATGCACATGTTCACTTTGTGATGCAACACTTTTCAAAGTTTCATTTTAAGAGAATCCATATTTGTTCAAGCAGTAACAGCAAAAAATGATATTCAACAACTTGACAAACATGAATTAGATTTAGCTACCTGTAATTTACCTATCTGTTTAATTAGTATGATTGTTTTGATAAGCATGCACTTTTGTTGTGATAACTACTTACACCTATTCCTTGAACGCCAACATAATTTTACAGGTAAATCGTCGGTAGATCAAAGGATGTTGGCATTCAAGGAATAAACCCTTGGAGTCTGAGTCTTGCTAAACAGATCTGTTCTCTTCCGGTACCACGATTTCCCGAGAAGTACAAGAACAACGTAATATCCCGAAAACAAACAGATTTATCCCGATAACAAGATTTTTTATGGTGTTATACTACTGTTATCAATATTAAAGAATATTAATTAAAGATATTACTCGTTTTTACTCAACGATAAAAATGCAATTCCACTTCAAGAATTCGATTTTTATGTGTTGTATAATCATTAAACGATATTAATAAATAATAAAGTAAATAAAACAAAAACGTATTTACAGCATAAATTACATATTTACATTTTAGTAACTGTCATTGGAACGTCGCTTTAAAAAAATCTATCAATTCGTCTACTAACACGGTTAAAAAACCAACTGAGTGATTTTTTCAGTGCCATGTGCAGGGTACCTTTGTAGTTTTAAATTTTCTTTGATAAAATAAATAATTTTCGCGGACTGCATAAGGGGACGACCATTTGATATTCTGGGGGGGGGGGGGGGGGGGGGGGGGGGGGGGGGGGGGGGGGGCCAGGAGGATTTTGAAAATAAATAACTCAGCCTTGATAATCACAAAAATAAATGGTTTGTTCTGTGGTAGTTCGAAAATAAATAACCTGACTTACAATGTATTGAAAATGAATAACTCGGCAGGTCGTTAAGCCATTTTATAAATGCTATTCGAAAGTATGAGGTGGCACCACATTCTTCATAAAATTCATCTTTTTTCAAAAAAAAATTCGGGAAACACTTCCCAAATCTTTTAATAATAAAGGTATAAATATTATTTAAATATACTTGAAATGTCTGAAAATGGGTTTCATTTAACTTGAGGTATATTGGCTCAGGAACACTTACCTCACTTTTATTACAGGGCTGTAACTACATTGAGGCAAATGCCTTTATGTAGGAAATTTTAAAACCAAAAGCTTGTCTTCATCATATCAAATTGTTTTCACAGCGAGTGTTTGCAAGAAGCAAGTTCTGTTCTCCCTTGGACATAGCACCTGTTTTATCGGGATCAATGTTTCTTTAAATTTGTCTTTTGTTCATTGATTGCCCTTCTGTATTCTCTTAGTGTTGCATTCCTTTTGTGATTTAGTAATTTTGTTTTCAACTTGATCATGAGTATTATTTTATTTAAGACTTTTTAGCTAATTTTACAACTTAACTACTTTAAATTATATCCCAGTTAAGAGCTACATCAAGTTGTAATTGAAATGTGTTATTAAAAATTACTTGACATAGTTATATCACTGATAATCAGCCCCCTCTTATCTTAATTTGAATAAAACCCCATATAATTTACAGGTATAAAAGATTTAAATTCTGCATGCCGAAACAACAAAAAAAAAAAAAAAAAAAAAAAAAAAAACCAGCAGCCACATACTTAACTATGTGAATTACTTTTTTACTTTATTCTTCATATTGGTCTTTTGATGTTGTCCATAAAAACTTAAGTCTTACGCTGAATCTATACATTTTGCTTTGAGACCAAAATATTGTCAAAAAATTATTAAAACAGAACTTGCGTTTTCAGAATAAGAAAGGGTCTGGGAACACCCAGAAAGCACGATTTTGCATCATTTGTTCTATAGTTTCTTTGGGCCTTCAGCGGCTTCAAAACCCTTCAAAATTTTTTTGCCTCGCTCCGCTCGGCATAAATATATTTGGCAATACTTTTAAAAGAGGCTAGTCACAGCCCAACTCTAATACCGTGTATGTATGCAATACATGTATATGCAGTTTGGAATTCAGAAGATTCATTTCCGCAGAGGATGATGATTAATTCTGATTAAATGGTACATTAATGACTTGACTGTACATGTATTATTTATAATAAAAAATAAATTTAAAAATTGTATGTTTTCAAATATTATTAATATAGTTATGAAAATAAATAATCAGTCCCTTGTTTTAATGAAAATGAAAAATCTTGCTTCAACAGTGCAGAAAATAAATAATCTGTCCTCTTAGTTTACAAAAATAAATAACCGACCCAAAAAAAATCCTCCTGCCCCCCCCCCCCCCCCCCCCCCCCCAGAATATCAAATGGTCGTCCCCTAAGGTATGCCCGTGCCTTGTGCAGGGTACCTTTGTAGTTTTAAATTTTCTTAGATAAAATAAATAATTTTCGAGGACTGCATATGGTATGCCCGTGCCTTGTGCAGGGTACCTTTGTAGTTTTAAATTTCTTTAATAAAATAAATAATATAGAAGTTGGAAGTATATAATTTAGATATAGAAAATACAAAATGAGAAAACAATCATTCAAATTCTTGAAAAAAAAAAGAATCAAACTCATTTATGTAAAATTCTATCTATGGTGTAATAAAAATACATAACTGTTTCTTTGATCTCTTTTCAAAATTAGAAGAAACAAATTACAATTTGCTTCAATAAATATTTTATATTTATTAGTCACTTGCTTCATGTAAATAACATTTAATTGTAGGATAAAGTGTATAATTAAACATCTGAGTCCTCCTGGCTAAAATGTATATTATTTTGAAGCCACTGTATTGTATATATGTTTTGTAAATAGATGCATATTCATGTACATATTTTGCATACTCTCTGTACCTCTAATGGTCATGTGAATAAATAAATTCTATTGTATATATATCTGAAATCTAATAGAAAACTATGAATTGATATTTATATATATGTATGTATATGTGTATTATACAGAAAGATGTTGACATGAGGGAATAAATAATAGAGAACACTTATCAAAATTTTAAGAAAAAAAATAGATGCTAAATTTTGAATATTTTATTTAGGACTATTAATAATTGTATGGGTTTGACGTGTTACATTTTTTAATTTCTAGATTTTTAAAACAAATTATGTTATTTTGATTGAAAAGACTATGTAAAAATATGTTGTACTTCATTTTTTTTTGGATAAATTTCTTGTATATTATACCATTGTATACATTGGATTTGTACTTGAAATAAATAATCTGATCTCTATATTTCTTATTTGATATATCCGGAGAGGGTACTCTCCGGAGAGAAACATACGTAATTGTGGTATTATGTCAATGAGTCAAACATAAATTCATTCATTAACATTAATAAAATAGCATCAACACAGATCAGTTGCAAAATTATCACAATTAGATAATACATCAAATCACAAATAAATTGCCGAAATTCAACAACAAAAATCATCAGAGAGGCAACAGTACCACAGTACTTTGCTTTCAAGTCGAATTATCTACCTTATGAATAATCAGTCCGCCATATTGTTTTCAACAAGGAATTTGCATACAAGACATACAAATCGAATTCCTGAAGATAACTTGTACTTTTATTGATTATACACGACTAGAACGTCTTAAACCTTATAATTGTATGCTGTTACACTAATTTAAGCAGTATAACACCATTTAAAATCTTGTTCGGGATAAATCAGTTTGTTTTCGGGATATTATTCAGCCTAAGTGAAAATACAAAGGTATTTTATTAATATTTTGAGAGAGATACGTCTTAAAACCCGATTTTGATTGATTTAAACGAATGTCGTCTGGAATATCATTCCAAAGGTTTATAACGGCTGATAGAAATGACTTTTGGTAATAGCTTGTTCTGCATAATATAGTTTGTAAATTTGAAGACCCCCTAGTCCTGTGGCCGTGTAGATCAAGCCTCTGATTTGGAACTAATACAGAAAGATAATCAGGACAATCTCCGTGAAACATTTGGTGAAATTTTAATAACTTATGTTTATTACGCCGAGACTGGGGAGTTTCCCAACCGGTTTCATCGTACAGCAACTGTCTCGATGTTATCTTAGTACCACCTGTAACAATTCTTGCTGCTTCTATTTGTAAGTTTTCCAGAGATGTTTTTAAATAATCAGGTATGTTATCCCAGACAATGTCCCCATATTCTAAGACTGGGCGTATAAAAGATAAATAAATAGTTTCTAAATTTTTCCTTTTAAGTTTAAACTTTAGCTTTCGGAATAATGCTAATCTTGGAATAGCTTTATCAATAATCGTTTTTACATGATTATTCCAGCTTCCATCTTCATTTATAATAACCCCTAAACAAGGATTTGTATTATGAGCCGTAGCCAGTGCCTTTTTGAAATGGTCATTATTTCTGTTTTGTTTGGGTTGAAATTGACAAGCCATTGCTTAGACCAATTATGTATTTTCTCAATATCTTTATTTAGCTTTTCTGCCGCTTCATATTCGTTATCAACCACTATATAAATTGAAGTGTCGTCAGCAAAAAGTTTAATATCACATTCTATATCATTAACTATGTAATTTATATAAATATGAAATAAAATAGGACCCAAGATAGACCCTTGGGGTACCCCAGCTGAGACATGCTCGTTGTTGGACGTTTCTCCGCAAATGACAACCTGTTGCCTTCTTGAGTTTAAATAGCTTTCAGACCAAAGCAGCAATTTCCCATTAATTCCGATTTTTTTAAGCTTACAGAGTAAGCCTTTATGCCAGACTCGGTCGAAAGCTCTACTTATGTCACAGAAAATTACCCTTACCTCTTTCCTTGCATCTAATGCTTTACCAAAATCGTTAATTATACATAGCAGTTGGTTTACCGTCGAATCACCAGGGATAAAACCAGACTGGAATTTTGTTTATAAAGAATTTGTAATAACAAAGTTAAAAAGGTATTTAAAAATGCATCTCTCCATTGTCTTACCAATTTTAGACAGCAAAGATATTGGTCTATAATTAAGTAAAAATTCTGGGCCACATTTGTTCTTATAGACAGGGATAACATTTGCTAGTTTCCACACATCTGGAAATCTCCCTGTTAGAAGGGATACATTAAAAAGTTTTGTAAACGGATACTTCAAGACAGTTGCTGCCGACCTCAGGAGTCTTGGACTGATTAAATCAGGCCCTGTAGCTTTTGAAATATCAAGATTTACAAGCACATCTTCAACATCCTGCTCACTTATAATCAGTTCCTCTAGTTTTTTTAATTTCATCATATTCTAATATTGGTAATACAGTATTTGAATCATCAACAGAAGACTGTGCGCAGAAATAATCGTTAAAATAATTAGCTTCGTTGTAATCACTTTCTATATATTGGTTACTGAAAATTAAAGTAGGATAGACTGATTTTTTATTTGGTAATCCGATCAAATTTTTAATGGTTTTCCACCATTGTTTTGTGCTCATTGTGTGTATACTATCAACTTTATTGACTTGCTTTTCTAAGATTTTTTTTTTACTTGATCGAACGTAGCTTATGCATTTATTTCTTATTCGTCGAAAATTTGTCCAATCAATTTCATTGTTTGTTATTTTAGCTTTTTTATGTAATCTCTTACGCTTTCGAATGATTTTTCTTATATTCGAATTCATCCAAGGTGGATCATGTTTCCTAACCTGAACCAGTTTGTTTGGGATTGATTTTTCTGCCGCTTCAAGAATTTTTTCCGTAATATTTACTGCCGCGGTATTTATGTTTTGATTATCAATTAGAGTATCCCAGTTAATTTTAAGGAGTTCGTTTTTAAACAAATCACAATCGCCTAAGTGATATTGCCAAATTTTAAAGGATTTTGTTAATTGTTTTTCGATATTTATTACTGCGCTTATAGGACAATGATAGCGTACAGAATTTTCAAGGATGTTTTCACCAACTTCTGAGTACAGTATTATATCCGGATCATTTACCATAATTAGATCTGGTAACGACACTGACCTTTCACAAAAATATGTAGCATCAGTTATTATTTGATATAAGCTATTTTGGTTACATATTTCTCTTAACTTTTGTTTGCTATGATTAAGTTGGTCATCGTTAAAATCACCGCAAATTATAATTTTATCTGCATTCGAATTTATGGCGAGATCTATTGAATAATTTATTTTTTCCCAGATTTGGCTATCTGAATCTGGCGGTCTATAAAAATTCCAAAACAATATATCTATTCCTTTAACATGAATTTTGACCCATACACATTCCAATCCGTTTATTTTAAATTCAGGTTTTTCTTCACTAAAAATAAGTATATTTTGGCTACAGATTCAAAGTAAAGTGGCACCTCTTTCATTTCAAGATCAGTCTTTCAGTTACTATAAACATAGATGTATTACATTTATGCTATAAACGATAGGTTAAGTATATTTTGGCTAGAGATTCAAAGTAAAGTGGCATCTCTTTCATTTTGTGTTGATCTGATCTTCCGTGAACCATTTTCATTGTTTTTTTACCGACGTAAAGGTTTTGTTATTACTGCAGTTTTGACAGATTTTGGAAAAATATTCAATATTTAGCTCAACGAGTTAGAGGTGAGTTCCAAAATCTCAACTTAATTCTGTCGAAGTTAACACGATGCATTGTGTTTCAGATAAAAGTTTTCATGGATAATTTTAGTTGGAGTTAGTTCCCTTAGACACCATGTTAGATTGCAAACGGGTTGACTTTCTTATTTAAATATGCGGTACAAGCAAATATGATGAGGATGTATTAAAATGGTGCAATAAAGTGTGCGGCTACATATCTTGTTTTAAAAAAAACTCACCAGAGATACGATCAGCCCAAAAGTTTGAAGTCAAAATCACATACAAAAACAAAGAGCATTGGAAACTTTTTATAAAGCTGTGTAAGAGACTACAGTAACTATAAATATGTAGTTTAGCAGTCTCAAGTGGTGTCAAATCGACATAAGTCAGTCTGTCTAGGGTTAAAAACATATTGCATGGAATAAGCGAACATGTTATAAACAGTAAATGTACAGAAAAATGACCGTATAAAATATTATGATATCTTTTATATCAACACAGGAGTGCTGACTTCTGGACAGGTGACGATACACCCAGGAACAGTCAACTAAACGCACAACAGCCGTGGCATCGGCTCAGTGCAATTTAAAACTCATCATTGATACCAGGATTATAATTGGCACATCAGAGAAATATATTTCTCTTTTGTTTTAAGTGGAATACGATATTTCTTAATTCGGGACGCATGAAATTTAGAACGTGCTAATTTCATTATTTACAGCACTTGGTTAATACGTCTGCTGATGGACTATCAGTCCCCGAGGGTTATCATTTAATGAGCTCAGTAGTCAGTACTTCGGTACTGACGTGATTTATAACAAACCTTTCTAAAATTGTCTGTTTATAAATTTTGAAATTATAAAGAAACTAATGTTTCAACTCCCCAGGCAAAGTTGACCTTAGATGGACATGGCTATTTTTTAGGTCCTTTTGAGTCACAATGCTCTTCAACTGTTTCGGTTCCTATAGTTTACATCCTTGGCTTTCAAATATTCGGCTTTGAGCGTTCCTGATGAAGGTAAATACAGAAAAGCTCATCGGACGCATGAAATTTAGAACGTCATGCTTTTATATTTTACAGCACTGGGTCGTTACCTCTGCTGGTGGACTTTCAGTCCCCGAAGGTATCATCAGCTCAGTAGTCAGTATTTCGGTACTGACATGATTTTTATCAAATATTTCTAAAATTGTACGTTTATAAATTTTGAAATTAAAAAGAAACTAAGCTTTCAACTCCCTCAGGCAAAGTTGTCCTTAAATGCGGTATGGGCTTTGATCATTGTTGAAGGCCGTACGATGACCTATAGTTGTTAAGTTCTGTTTAATTTGGTCTCTTGTAGAGAGTTGTCTCATTGGCAATCATACCACATCTTATTTTTTATATTTGTTATATTTTAGGTCATTTTTGGTCATAATGCTCTTCAACTGTGTCTGTTCTTATACATCCATGGCTTTCAAATATTCGGCTTTGGGCGTTCCCGATGAAGGTAAATACATGCAGGAAGCTCCTCGGACGCATTAAATTTAGAACGTGTTGCTTTTATTTTTTACAGCACTGGGTCGATACCTCTGCTGGTAGACTTTCAGTCCCCGAGGGTATCATCAGCTCAGTAGTCAGTATTTCGGTACTGACATTATTTATATCAAATCTTTCTAAAATTGTACGTTTATAAATTTTGAAATTAAAAAGAAACTAAGCTTTCAACTCCCTCAAGCAAAGTTGACCTTAAATGAATTTGGCTATATTTTAGGTCATTTTTGGTCATAATGCTCTTCAACTGTTTCGGTTCTTATACATTCATGGCTTTCAAATATTCGGCTTTGAGCGTTCCTGATGAAGGTAAATCCAGAAAAGAGCCTTGGACGAATGAAATTTAGAATGTGTTGTTTTATTCTTTTTTTTTAATATTTAAAACACTATATATATGCAGGCCTTGGAAGTTTGAATATTTAACTGTGTCGAGTAGATAAGCATCATAAATCAGCAAATGCATGTTCGATTTTTGATCCAGTCATCCTGGAGTTGTGATCACTCCGGATTTTAAGATGGTGTTTAATTCTGAGTTGAAGACATATCTTGAAACTAATGATGTGTTTAATGACTTATACACCATGCATTTCAATTATTATTATCTAATGTCAACTTTTGACATGTTATCTCTGATTATATTAAGAAAAGAGAGGCCGAACCTCTTCTAAATTTAAGATATATTGATTTGTTGATTGATTGATTGATTGATTGATTGGTGTTTAACGCCACTTTCAGCACTATTGTTCTATTTCGTGGCGGTCAGTTTTATTGGCGGAGGAAGCCGAAGAGAACCACCGACCTTCGGTAGGAAACCGGACAACCATAGTCAATTAAGATTGAAGTCGAGCGCACACCTGCCATGTGCGGGATTCGAATCACAACCTCGGTGTTGACAGCCTAGCGATACATTAGCTCGACTAATAAGACCACTCGACCACAGAGGCCCCAATTTTAGATATACCATTGCATATAGTTCCTTTGTAAATCAAAATTTATAATATATTACTATTGATGAACTCATATGAAAAGATAGTATATTAAATATAAGCAGTTTAGAAGAATTATGAAAGTATTTTTTCAGTATCTTATGATTGGCACATATATATTGTATAGTAAACTCACTTATAGTAATTTCAGGTTCAAGTACTTGAATAAAATTTGGTACAAGGTGTTTAATGATATCAAAGTGGATTTACACACTATTTTTCAAATGCTTCTATTCCAATTCTTTCCCAAGGCAAATAAGAGTACTGATAATAGACCAGTATGCTTGACAAATATCATGATTTACAAACAATAACACTCAACGGTGTGAGTATTAATTGGAAATACCTCTTCTTTAATGCCAGTCTTAATTGACCACAGTAAATATCTCTTGTATTATATGTTAATTGGAATATAGACACGTTATTATCCAGTTAAACACATAACTTAGTACACAATTCTTGACCTTAACATGCGTAATGGTATACCTATAATACATTTTGATAATACACTATATGGAAGTATTATGTAATCTATGTATCAAAGATGAATGATTAAGGATTAATAAAACGATTTGTTAAAGAAAAGACAAAAAAAAAAAATATGTATCAAAATCCAAGCAGGGTCTATTCTACTTGTAAAATCAGTGCCATGATAATAATCTGATATTGGTCAATAATGTAGGTTAATTTCAGTTACAATTATCAATAATTTGCTTGAAACAATACACAAAATTCCATAACTCTAACATGAGCATTTTCTGCAATAAAATTTATTTGTTTATCCCCCATTATATTGCTATAATTTTACAGTATAAGATATTTATACATTTTATTTGGTATTCAGGAAATGTATTTTTTCTCAATGGACATTATTAGGTCAAACTTCAATAAACATACTAAGAAAATACTACATCTTCCTTTAAAGATTTTTTTTTCGATTGAAAAATGGTTTATATAAAATAAACAAAATGTAAAAAACAGTGTAGAATTTTCATCAATATTGAGAAATTATCCATCTTTGGACAATATAATAATAAAACATGTATAAGAAGATTATGGACATTTTTCAGTGTCATATAATTTTTATCATAATAACGCAATAATAATCTTTATTGTCATATAAACAAATTAAACATGTTTGTGCCAAAAACATCAAAAATCAATAAATGATCCCAGTAAAATGCATTAAAAAAGTATACCTAAGGTTGAACATAGACATACTCCCATAAGCAACCATTGACGAGTACATTAAGGGAGACAATAGTTTTCCCCTCTTTCAACTCGAATGTTATACAGTTCAAAAGGATATTCATGTAACCAATTACAATATCGATGTAGGAAAAGTGTGAATAAACAAATGATGAACATTTTTAAAGTTTGCGAGCCTATTTGTAAAACAATTGAGTTTAGTGCTGCTGCGATTAACGCAAGTCAGCTGTTTTTATCATTCGCAAAGAGCACCAGTTATAACCATGATTAATGGACCCTCTGTTGACGGAAAACAAACATGCATAAAGGGAGTTCCATTGGATATCTTGCCGAATTACAGACATCAATCACCCATTTCTCGGTTCGCCTTTCCGTAAACTGAAAAATTATAATAAACAAGCGTATTGCCTAAATGAAATGTATAACCTATTTGTTAGACAAGCTATAAGTGGTTGTTAAATTTTGATGCGTAATATTGTTCGGAAGTGTTTACATCAATTTTATCATAACAGTTTACAATTACATCGATATGCTCAGATAAGGTTAGTTTTTATTTATTTTCAATATTTAATCATTATTTAAATTATGATAAAATTAAAACGACAGCTGAGAAAAACACACAAACAAATATTCAGTCAGGATAAATAAAATACACAAACACACAAACTACACTAGTCCTAATATCTTCATGTCATTGTAATGTGTCAAACTAAGGAAAGTGATACATTAAAGTTGATACTTTAACAGACCCGACATAATCTAACAAGAGACATCTTTGTGGACCATGTCCGACTATATGAGCTTCCTAAACCCGTGTTGCTGTTGCGAGGGTATACCAGCCCTATAACAGACTATATATACATAGACATTGCAAACGCAACAGTAATGCAGACCAAAATCTGCTGTACACGGTTGCACAATCCATATTGCAATGGCAATCGGAACAGCCGACAAACAACCTGCTGTACACGGTTGCACAATCCATATTGTACATTGCATTGGCAATCGGAACAGCCGACAAACAATCTGCTGTACACGGTGGCACAATCCATATTGTACATTGCAATGGCAATCGGAACAGCCGACAAACAATCTGCTGTGCACGGTGGCACAATCCATATTGTACATTGCAATGGCAATCGGAACAGCAGACAAACAATCTGATGTGCACGGTGGCACAATCCATATTGTACATTGCAATGGCAATCGGAACAGCAGACAAACAATCTGATGTGCACAATAGGAAAACTGTTTTTAATCTGCATAATAAATAGCCGATAATAGGGTGTGTACAATAAGCACAATACAAATCGACAATGAAAGAAAAAAAATCACAGATTTATGTTTAATTTTGGAAAAGGCGGATGTCTACTCCAATATTTTGTCGATTTTTCATGTTATTTAAAAAATAGAAAAAAACAAATCCTAGTCTTTGTTTTAAAACTTTTGGAAATAGTTTTTTTTTTATTTCTTGATTATCATACTATTCTTTGAGCTTTTTAATAGTGTGCTTGTAATCATTGCATTAAGTTAAAGAAGGCTGCAGATGACAGTCAGGATCGTGAGGACATACTGACTATAATTTGACAGTTGTTTATATAATCCACTGGTGTATCTCTCAAATAATATCCTGTCAACCATTCGAAGTGGTTGTCAATATGAAGTTATTAATAACTCGAGGATAGATACATTTATGATCATGTTGCAAAATACCAATATAGCTGCAGCTGTTCATTGTGAAAAAAATACCTATAAAAAAAATTAACGAAACTTATCCTTGTTTTAGGTCATCTGAAATGAAATTTGGATTTTAAAAACTGATTAAATTATAAAAAAAAATGGGAATTATGTTCTGTTCTTTGCATTGATCATGTTATTTTTTTTATGAACTATTCATTTATTTTTCAATATGCATTACAGTTTCATCAACAATGGCGACAAAACTGTCAACCGCAGAGATAAATCACCTGAGACTATCTACTCTCTTGCTGAAGACTGCTCCTAGAGCTGTTCGTGTTTTATTTGACCGATTCTTCCCTCCCGGTGGATTACAGACAGTTTTAAACATGGAAAAAACTTCGCTCGAAAAGTTAAAGAAAAAGAGAATTATGAACCAAGCACAATGGAACCTCTTATACGGTACACTAAGTACGTAAAGGAATTTAATGTAGAAAAATAGGGATAAATTTTACTAAGATATTGAATGCGTGTTGAAAATGGCTTCAACAACTTTGTGCAGTTGATAATAGTGTTTTAGAACTGTGTAATTCAGTCTACGTGTGGCTAGTTTTCGCAAAACACGACGTAGATATATTTAATTTATCACCAGCCTAGTAGTCAGCACTTTTATGTTGACATGAATTATCATTGATATTGTCAAAATTATAAATTAACTGTTCACAAAACTTTGAATTTTTCGAATTACTCAGGATTTTTTACCCCAGGAATTGATTACCTTAGCTGTGTTTGGCAAAACCATTCGGAATTATGGGTCTTCAATGCTCTTCAATTTCGTACTTTACTTGGCCTTTTTAATTTATTTCTATTCGAGCGTCACTGATGAGTCTTGTAGACGAAACGCGAGTATGGCGTACAAAATTGTAAGCCTGGTATTTATGATTAGTTTATATAATGTTAGAAAGTGATTTTTTTCTTCTCAAAATGCAGATTGTCAACTGATAAAATACATGCATTGTTATTAGTAATAAAGTAAAAGAACTATAAATTTACGTCTTGGTTTTTTGGTTTAATATTTCGTTTATCATAGACTAAATATTGCTTGTCTCGTACAAATTTAAAGGAAACATTATTGGTTGAAACTCCTGGGAGGCTTTAGAAACACATTTGTTTCATTTAGTAAACGTTGTGGTATGTCATTCTTTGAGTTTGTGGAGTGGAATAACAAGAAGGACATTCCGATATCAATTATACTGTGCATTATAGCTCAGGTACTAAGAACTAATTAGTTGTCTGAAACATGCCTCCTCATTCTGTATATAAGTTTTTTAGATAGTAAATATATAAATGGTGTCTTTTCAGAGACTTCTCAAATAACTTCTAGCGAGTTCGACATAACACTGATGATATGTTTATTGAGGAATCTGACTACTCTGTCTATTCAAGACACGATGCCAAGTAAGACTGACACGTCTCCTGGTGCTGACGTTTCTAGAATAAAACATTTTAGAAATCAGATTGCGCATTCTGAAGATGGAAAAATTTCGCAAAACAATTTCAACGAATCTTGGGATGATCTGACAAATGTGAGTTCTTCTTATCTCCCATAGTATATTTCTACATGTAAAACAGACCTACGATAAAATCAATCACTATTTTGCAAATGAATCGCCACCGCTGTACCATTTGGCCCGTTGGTAATGTTTTGGTATTTGTATTATTTATTTGCCATTGCAAAATTTCTAGTTTTCGCTCTTTTTATTTTTGCTATAAAGGAACATATAATACCGATATCAGTGTGCATTATGTGTTTCTGTAAAAGCATTCATCAGATGGGGAGCGCTCGAACCACTGTTGATTTTAAAGTCGAATACTTGAAACTTTTCAGAGCATCAATTTCCCCTAAAAAAATCGAAAAAAACAAACAAAAAGAAAACAGTTAGAAACATATTGGCGTTACGTAGACTTTATCCAAAGGAGTAGCAATTTTCAATTTTCGTTGTGGAACAAGTATATGAATTTGAATTATCATACTAAAAAAAAACATTTAAAAATTACACAAGACTAGATTGCATAAACTGGCTATTGGGTGAAATATAATATCGGACGGTTGATTAGATCTGTGCCGACCATGTGATAGAAATATAGACGGCACATGTTACCATTGCAGTGTTCACCAAATCCATCTTCATTCTCTTTCAACTGAAAAAAATGATTTCTTAATATCATATTCTTACTACATCATGCCAAAAAAGACCGAATGAAGTACGAAGTTAAAGAGCATTGATAGGATACACATTTGTGTAATCATTAAACATGTTTAAGCATCATGTGGTTTATATCCTCAAACATCGCGTGCATTTGTTTTCGCAGATAATGACAATATTATAACGGTCTATGTGTTCTCGTGGTTGATTGCATGCCTCGAGTACGGGAGGTCGTGGGTTCGATCCACGACTGGGTCAAATCAAAGACTTTAAAATTGGTATTGCTGCTTCTCCGCTAAGAACACGGCACTTAGGAGTAAGAACAAGTATTGGTCGTTTCTGAGTTATGTCCTGGTAGGGTGACGTGGGTCCTTTTGGACTGTTTCCGTGTGTACTATTACATTACAAATGCGGCTTAGCGTGTCGGTCTGGCACAAAGTAGAGTTTATATTTATATTACATTCCGTAAACATGTTCCCGTACTGAATGTGCATTCAATTTGCCACTGTACGTCTAACAGCTATCCATCATCATCTTGACATTTAAATCAATTTAATCCATTTAATGCACATTGCAACACATCTCAGTCATTAAGAGTCACATCAGACTGGGAAACTGAAAGTTCTAATAACTGAAGTCATTTTTATCATCAAGTTTTACTATATTTTCAGGCGATAGTTCGTTTAGGTGGCCAGTCATTCGTTCAAGAATGTTTTGATACCAAAGTAGCCAGTCTCAACCAACATGATAAAGAGTTGTTACTGGAAATACGACAGAATACTCCAGAAATACAAAACCTTAATGAAGTTGTAAACAGTTTGAAAAACCCAATTCCGAAAAACGTTAAAGGTAAATATTTTTTAAATTTCCATTTAGCACCATTTCATCGATAAGTTTACAGATGATGTTTCGTCGCAATAATCTTGTTTTTGGCAATGTTCAGGGAGTTTTAGGTAGTATGGTAAACATCCGCAATCTTGGATAGCACGTACAGTAAACGTTTGGTCAATATCGTTTTGTTTTAATGTAAATGTTGAAGCCGAAATGCGTTCACTTGTAAACCTGTTCGTTGAAATGAAAATAAAAAAATCACAGATTTTATCTTATGGTAACCATAAAAACGTTTTTAACAAATGCATATATAGTTGTTGTTGTCGTTGCTATATTAGGACAAGGATGAGATGATTGGCGAATCATAAGTCCTTCATGGCTTCAATGAACATTATATTGAATAGCAAATCTGAGGACTTACCTTGTTTGTATTGGATTGCTAAGCTTCAAAAATTCCGTACAAACAACGGTACATTGCCGGCTCATCTGCATGTTCTCCAAAGGAATTGTCCATTAGATTGACAAAAATTCTGTCCGCAGTGAAAGAAGGTCTTCAGAAATACTGTGAAACTGTTTACTCGCTTAGTGGTATTGACCATATGTGGATTCTAAAAAAACTCTAAAGAACTTCTGGATAATTTCAAATCTCTATTTTTTTCTGAAATTAATTCGATCAAAACCTTTGATTTTTCAACCCTTTATAGCACGGTGACCATTCCCCGTGTGAAATTGAAAATCGTCTCAAAGAAATAATCAACAATGCTTTTCAATATGAAAATGGTAGCATACGCTATAAATGTATTGCTTTGGGATACCATGCGGCATATTTTGTTAATTAGTGAACAAAAAGGTAAAACATGCTTCACCGAAGTACAAGTGATCAGTAAGCTGTAGTTTCTCATTGACAACACATTTCTTGAATCTTAAGGTAGACTTTTTCAACTATTGTCGGCATTTCTATGGGAACGACTTGTGCGACTCTCCTTACCTTGTTTTCATATGAGTCAGAGTTCCTTCAGACGCTTGTCAAAAACAAGAAGATCAAAGAAGCCAGATCATTTAATTTCACATTCAGATATATTAATTATATTCTTTCCATTTACAATCAAAACTTTCTTGATTGGGTTCCACTAATATGTCCTCCAGAACTAGAAATTAGAGGAACAACAGACACGGCTTCTTTTTAGACTTATACCTCGAATTTGACATAAGCGGTCATCTCAGTACCAGAATCTATGAGTATGACAAACGAGACGATTTTTATTTTGAAATTATAAATTTCCCCCACCTTAGCAGTAATATACCAACATTAACTTCGACTGCATATGCCATATGGGATATACATCTCCTAACTCATTCGGTATTCAAGAGCTTAGATGTAATTTAGTTTTATAAAGTCAAGTTTGAACAGTTCATTTATCTAGGATTTTGTTATACTAGTATAAGGAGAAAATAAGTTTAAATGACTATTGTTAGAATATTATAACAGATTAAATGTTTAGCAAATGTTGCAACAGATTTACATGCTTACGTATAAATAGTTTATTAAAAGTCATCTGAATATTGCTTATCGTTGCTAGTTTTTATATCCCCACTAACTAAAGCAGTCGTTCGTCCGTTTGTACACGGCTATTCCTCGAACATCAAATCTATTTCAAATTTATATGAAACTTGACTTCACTTGAAACCTTCATAGAGTTTAAAGTTTTTTATGGCAAATAAATGTAGGGTTCATATATCAAATCATAGACCATATCTTACATATAAACGGGGTAGACATCTTGTATCTAAAATTTCTTATAGAAAAACGACCTAGTTTGTTTCAATGAAAGTGTTAAAGAATATTTTGTGTACAGAATTATATTTAGCATTTTCTATTACACTTATTTTCGGTGGGTTTACACAGTATACTATTGCCATAATTAGATACACATTTTAAAGTTTACAATGAATGTTGCTATAAACTGGTACCCTTTATACTAAACATATATGGTTTCTCGTGTGAATTCTTTGATTCTGATCAATGTTATAAAACAGCTACTTAAAAATTAAGCCCTTTATTAATGTTTCTCATAAGACATTTTGTTTTTTGAACACTAACAAATGTTGTGTTTATAATTACAATGCAGTTTAATTGATATTATCAATACGTTTATTTTTTTCCAGAAATAATGAACTTAAAAGTAGAAACATGGAAGACCGAAAATAAAGTATTCATCGAAACAAAGGCGACCAAATTTCTACTTAGCGCCATCAGGGAGAATAGCATGGTGACTGTAATTGGAAACCCCGGAATTGGAAAATCCTCTTTAATTCATTACGTAGCAATGTGTTTACATCAAAGTAAAAATTACGAAATAATACCCGTTCATTTGCCATTAGATATTATAAATTACAATAACCCGGATCAAAGTCAGGTGTTTATTATCGACGATGTGTGCGGTAAATACTCTGTCAGTACTCTGCTTGCCGAGTCGTGGGAAATGTACAAGGACGATATTGAAAATATTTTACGAACATATGACACCAAGATACTATTGTCATGCAGAACTAACATTTTTAGAAGTCAAGGTTTTCAGAAATTAAAGCTGTTGATATCATCTGTATGTGACCTGTCGTCTGCAAATCTTGCTTTGTCAACCGAAGATTTAGATAAGATCGCAAGCGTGTATTTGTCAAACACCGAGGCAGATATTGTTAAAGAAATTTCATTTTCTTTACATTATGACTTCTTTCCTCTTTTGTGTAAATTATACCCCGAACATCGACAGCATGACATAAAAGACTTTTTCACAAGGCCCGTTCATGCAATAGAAGAAAATTTAACACAATTACAATCACAAAATGACAAAATGTCATTTTGTTCATTAGCACTTCTGGTCCTTTTTAACAACGCCATCGAAGACAATTGGCTGTCCTCTTTTTTATCAGATGAAGATAAACAACTTGTACAGCTTTTATTTGAGGAATGTGAGATGAATTGCGTGCCGTCAAGAAAGACATTAAAACGTCAGTTTGAAATGTTTTTAGGGTCGTACGTCACACATGATGAAAACAAGTATAAGGCGCTGCACGACAAAGTGTTTGATATCTTGGCTGTCTTTGTTGGAACTGAGCTGTTTGATGTTATACTCCAATATGGTAATATAGAGTTTATATCTGAACGGTATCAGTTTGAATCCCTAGAAGAACATAACAATGAATGTTATATAATAGTTCCAATTGAAAAAGAGGGTCAATACTTTAATAGGATACTTCGAAATATTGACAAGGCCTTCGATAACAGACAGCTTGCGTTCGAGTTGTATCGAAAGAAATTTACTTCTTATTGCTATACCAACAAGTTTGACATCTTTAAAAGGCTACGACAGTTCGATGAATCCGAAACAAAATCCCCTTTAGTAATAGCTGTTACTTCAGGTTATGACGACATTGTTGAAATGTTGATAGATTTTGATATGAATGTTAACATCCGGGATGTGATTGGTCGCAGTATGGTCAGTATAGCAATCGAAAATGAATACACTTCAACATTATCGATCTTGCTGAAGGCAAAAGCTGATGCAAATATTGCCGACCAGCAAGGATTTACCCCTATATGCGTTGCAGCAGGAATGGGCAAACCACCTCTTTGCCAGATGTTGTTATCTTATGGTGCAGACCCAAATAAATGTAGTCTTGCAGGAGTGTTCCCACTATATTGGGCATCATATAATAGATTTCCTGATGTAGTAAAAGTGTTATGCGACTTCAATGCAAACGTTAATTTACAAAACAATAATTGTTGGACTTCACTGTTTGTTGCTTGTCGAAATGGAAGCACTGACATCGTTAATCTTTTACTTCAAGAGAACGCGGATCCGAATATTTTGCAAAAGAACTATGGTGTCTCTCCACTATTTGAAGCCGTTTCAAGAGGACATTCAGAAATTGTGAAGATGCTCCTCGACCATCATGCAAACTTTAAAGAGTTACTACACGGACGTTATTGTCTTTGTGAGGCGGTAGAAAGAGGACACATAGACGTCGTTCGAGTTTTATTAGAGTATGGTTCGGATCCAAACGTCAGTGACCAAGATGACAACTTTCCTTTAATTCTGGCTACCTCCATTAATAATTTCGATATTACGGTCATTTTACTTAAATTCGGAGCAAACATCAACCAGTGCAGTAAAAAGTTGCACACTCCTTTGTCAATCGCCTCATATTGTGGTCGTGTTGATTTAGTGAAGTATTTACTTGAGAATGATGCTGATACCAAATGTGTAAATGTTAACAACGAAACAGCATTGAATATAGCAGTCAGAAGTACTAATCCAAAGGTTGTTGATATATTACTTGCACATAATTCCGATCCAAATGTATGTAATATCCATGGAAATTCATGCCTTTCGGAAGCAGCTTTCTATGGAAGAGAAGATTCTGTGAATATTTTACTCGAAAACAAAGCCGATATCAATTCTACAAACAAGTTAGGAGAAACACCATTATTTCGCGCAGCACGTGCAGGAAACTTTAAAGTTGTAGAAACTTTGCTTCTTAACAATGCTGACGTCAACAAATCTGACAATGCAGATAATTCCCCTTTGTCCGAAGCATCATTCTATGGATATTTCGAAATTGTTTTGTTACTTTTAGAAAACAATGCAGACCCTAATATTGCAAACACAATTGGCACAAGTGCATTGCATCGAGCAGCTGGCTCTGGTATTTGTGAAATTGTCGAAGCATTATTAAATTTCGGTGCAGATCCTTCAAAATGTAACAATTCAGGGTTTACACCATTAGATATTGCCTCCATCTGCGAGCATCATGATATATATGAAACTTTCTTGTACTATCAAAGTTTATAAAACTAATTAAGTCAGGCAGTATTGTGACAGTGTTAATGTTAAAATGTAGTCGCATTAGATATTACGTTTATAGCAATATTCCAAAAGGGAAATAAAAAATGATTAACAGAGGAGTACATAAAAAAGTTGTAAAATACCATTAAGTCAAAATATCGGATAATTAGTCGAATAATTAGTATTGTATACCCTATGAAATTCAGATTAAAAGACCGAGCTGTTTCTGCACTCAATGTATTGGTCATACTTTGAGAGGGTCTGGATTGTGTGTGTGTGGGGGTGGGGAGGGGGGAGGGGGTCCTTTATTTCTGTTTTCTTTAATTTTTTAGGGAATTTATCTTTATCTTTAGAAATAACGAATATTCGGTGTAAAACTCACGAAAATGAGTTTACTATTAAATTTTTCAGTAATTCGATGATTTCTTTATTCAGTTCATCGTTCATTTTTGTTGTCAGTATTTTATTTCCTAATTCTTTTATTTTCGGAATTCATTTTTTTATTTAATCTTATATTTCTTGCTCAATTGTGTCTATTCTTTATTTTTTGGCCCTTATCTCTATTCTGTAAACTCCATCCAGACCCTCATACTATGTCAAAGAGGGACGAAAGATACCAGAGGGACAGTCACACTCATAGATCGAAAACAAACTGACAACGCCATGGTCAAAATTAAAAGACAAACAGACAAATAATAGTACAGATGACACAACATAGAAAACTAAAGACTAAGCAACACGAACCCCACCAAAAACTAGGGGTGATCTCAGGTGCTCCGGATGGGTAAGCAGATCCTGCTCCACATGTGGCACCCGTCGTGTTGCTTATGTTATTTCAAATCCGGTAAATAGTCTAATTCGGTAGGTCACATTCGTGAAAAGGGAAGGGTATTGTAGTTACGACATAAGGAACATATCCGATATCATCTGTGAAACGGTTAATCCATAACGGTCAACCAACTCGTGATGGCGTCCGTAAAATTTATGAAGGGATGATTTCAACTTCACCATTCGGAACTCTTGGTTTAATAGCTTCCTTGTGAGCAGCAATCCTCTATCAAGGAAATCATGATAGGAAATACAAGCCCGGGAATATCGTATCAATTGGGAGATATATACTCCGTATGCAGGCGCTGCTGGAATGTTGCTACATAGAAATGGAAAGTTCACAATTGGGAAGCTGAAATCATCTCTTTTGTCGTAAAGTTTTGTTTTCAACCGACCCTCATTGTCAATTTCTAGATGTAAGTCAAGATATGAGGCAGACTTAACTGTATCTGTAGTATCCTTTATTCCTAGTTCGATGGGATAAATTCGTTCAACATAGTCACCAAATTTTGTATTATTTAGTGAGAGAACATCATCTATATAGCGGAACGTAAAGTTAAAGGATATTGTTAACTTCTTGTCTTTCTTCCTAAGAAGTTCCTGTATGAAGTCAGCCTTATAATAACAAAGAAACAAGTCGGCAAGAAGAGGGGAACAATTGGTTCCCACTGGAATTCCAAACACGTCCTCCAAACGTAACAAATATGTTGTCAATGAAGAAATCAAGCATCTTGATAATGTCAGTTTTAGAGATTTTTTTGTTTGAATCAGAGTGATTCTTTACACAGTAGGATTTATCCCTCCCCAAGACAAGATAATTGTATCTACGTTTGCCATTCTTTTTAATGAAACAAAGTAATACCAACTCTTTCAATTTGTCTTTAAGTTTGGAATGGGGAATCAAACGTCGTACTTGTTTATGTCAGGAACGGAGAAAAATTGCAATATTGAAATATACTATTAAAAAAAAAAACGTTACACTAATTTCATGTCATATAATTTATGAAATAACAGCATTATTTGAAATGAACAAATATTTCAAGAATCAACCTCTATAAAGATAAAGACACAATTGAAACCGGGCAACTCTGTGACGTCGTTTCAATGGACGACGTCCTCGAATTTTACACTAAAGCAGACGATTTCGGACAGTTTGAAATGAAACTATGTTGTTGGCTCCTCCGGGTATATGCCTGGCTGTAGCAACTGCAGTCTCCAAACGATTGCGCAGATGCATCATACGAATTTGCCTGTCATAACGTCGTAGCTCGAAGTCCCCTGGAATACGGGCGATCAAATGGTGTGCCGGTGTCTCTCATTTTGACGTAGACGTTGGGGAGCGGTTTTGTTGACTTACGTGTAAAATTCTATCGTTTTCAAATTCGTCTTTTGTAAACTTATTTTAACGACACAATTTGTGACCTTAATAACAATTAAAACACTACGGAATGAAGATTAATTTAGAAATTAGTAAAAAAATGTCAATTTTGGAAAACGACGTTACAACATTCAACAACATATTCAAACGACCAAAATCGATAAGAGTACGGCATAACTTTTAAATGTTCAGACACAAGATAATTTAATTATGCACGAAGTTTTCGAAAATTAATAATACTGATGTAACGTTTCTTTTTTGACTAGCACGGATAATTTTAATTACTCCTTTGAGATCATACAAAAATGGTGTTGTAAAGACAAAGCTGTTGATATTACATCAAAAGGAATTAAGAATGCATACGCACAGATATAGTTCCTTCCATTTCTACTTTATTTCAATTAAACATTCAATGGTCAATAAGTGACTGGTAATTAACTCATGCGCTACACACATTCAGCAATAAATGCATTGTTCGGTCACTCGTTGAATACATTTGTTTGTACTTTTCTATATCTCAAATATTGGATAAGTTATTCGACAAGTATAGATGCATCCGCTTATTGCATTATGCATTGGCATCTATCGAGAAATTGCATTAGAAGCTTGTTACAATAATATGTTAAAGATATCAATTCTTATGCATATTGTTCAACGTTGACTACAATGAAAATTAAAATCGAACAGACTCTTTATCTCTTTCTACAAGCTAATTTTCAGAGTTTTTTGCCTAGTCTTACGCATGATACAATTACTCCATAAATCTACATAAATTCAACAATTAACGCACCGGTCTATTGTAACAGGAACTTACACTGATATAACATTATTGTCACATTAAAGTTTTAAAAGACAATACTTTTACAATTGGATTATATGTTGAAAGATTTTATTATATTTTCAAAATCTATTTTCGATAGTGTCACTTTGGTATTTACATGTATATGCATGGTCTTTTCGATTAATTCAAATTAAATGTTTATTTTCGAATAAGGTGTGTTAAAATTAGCCTTGTGACTTTATTTCAAAAGTGTTTTCGATTTCAAGCTTTCTAAATATATACGGATACTTAGCGTTTCTCTGTGTCGTATAACGCCAATACAAGATAAATTGAGGTTGGTATATTGGTGTGGAATTTAATTTGTTGCATTAGCAACATTTTCAACAGATTTTAAACAAAACTCCTTTAGTCTCCTGTTCTCGTCTTTTGCTTTGGGGAAGAATATTATATAAATAACACATATCTGAGAGGGTGATAGAGCAGATTGTTACCCCGAGAAAACGTTGTCAACTGAGGCGAAGCCAAGGTTGACAATGTCTTTTCGAAGGGTAACAATCTGCTCTATCACCCTCTCAGCTATGTGTTATTTAATTTATTATACTGAATGTTCTGTTATTACTGTCTATTAAGTTTCAAATTCAAAGTAATAAAGTATATAACAATCAACCGTATTTATTAAAGCGCACACTTGATCAAGCGTCTCCGTAAAGGGTAATAGAGTACTTGCCATGGGATAGAGTAAATTGTCTCCCTCGTATTAACCAATCAAAATCTGGCATTTTGACATGAAGTATAATAAAACATTTTATCTTACCTCCTATACATTTCTAGGAATATTATTGGTTAAAAGCGACCGCGTGGAGACCGTGTATATTTCAAATGGGGTTAGTAGGCGTGGTTAATTTTAATACACGGTTAGTAGTGATGTTACGTTCCTTTATAAATACAACATGACATTGAGGAAAAATTTGAAACGTTTCGCCAGGACAACAGACGAAGGATTGATGATGAACGATTGAAATAAATGCCGAAACACATTAAAAGCTAACAAGTTGTTATTGTTGGCATTTGTTTTTGTATAGACCAATTGAAGTAGGTTCTTTATATTGAAGACTTGATCACTTTTCTAGATCACTAGTCTAAATGCCACATGGTAAGATAGTCGGTAAGATATTTTCGATACACAGTGTGCTAGTGACCTAATACGCTATATATGGGGTCAGTAAATTCCATATGTGGTTCGAGCTCGCTCTCACCCGAAATAAATTCATAAAACACATTTAAACCTAACAAGTTGTTATTGTTGGCATCTGTTTTTGTAGGATCAATGGAAGTAGTTTCTTAATGCTAACGGCATTGAAGCCTTGCTCATGTTGATAGGTCACTAGTCTAAATTTCACAATTTAAGATAGTCGGTAATATAAATTCGTTACATAGTGTGCTAGTGACGTAATACGGTATATATGGGGTCAGTAAATTCCATATGGGGATTCGAGCTTCGCTCTCACCCCATATGGAATTTACTGACCCCATATATACCGTATTAGGTCACTAGCACACTATGTAACTAATAATATGATAACGCTTTTTCTTCTTCTCATTATAGTTCATTTATTACTATTTCCTTGAAAAAAATTGTAAATTTGATATCATTTGTGTCCTATCAGAGAACCGAACATTGAACTTTCACCTGAAAAGGTGATATTTTTGTCACAAGATTTGCCACTGATCTGAAGCTCAGACAGCATGTGATTGTGATGCTTATAACTTTAGATATATTTTACTCTTAGTCACAAGTTATTCCACTAGTGTGTAGTATTAGATAACAAACTGAGCAATATTGATACCAAATAAAGTATCGTCAACAGAGGGAAATGTCCCAACACCTAGTCAAATAAGTCCGATTCTCAGTCAAACAATCTTTGCTTGTGTGTCAATGCATCTCTAAATTAGCGGAGGACCGGCAAATATCAGTTCTAAATTTTTTTCGTTTGACCTGGAAAGGGATCGAACCAAGACCTGAGTTTAAAATTCTTTCGTATGACCAGGACGAAGATCGAACCTAAGACCTAAATTTTAAAATTCTTCCGTTTGACTTGGAAGGAGGTCGAACCTAAGACCCAAGTTTTAAA